TCGCTGCTTCAAAGAGAGGGTAAATCCTTCTCTTTCTGACAGTGACCTGATTGTGTAGGGGCTAAGGGAATTGCCTGGTGTTCAGATGATTGCAGTGCAGCAACATGAAAGGATGCTCAAGGCTTGAAAGACTGGACTTTGTTGAGCAGACAGCTTTTAATTCAGGTTATCTCAAGGTAACAGTGTCTGCAGCAGGCTGAGGCTGTCATTTCATGCTGCAGGACTTTAAATGACAATGCCAGCTTGGAGAGTTCCCAAACCCGTCCCTCCCATGATGGGTCTGCACCCTTTTTGTGCTGACCCCTTGTGCCAGTGCAAGTACCTGTGGCTCTGTGCTGTACGAAAGCTGAGTGATGTGGGTTCGTAATGCCAGAAAACACAGCCTGCCTCACTTGCGGGGTTATTTTTTATCCACATCAGTTCAGTGATACAGGTCTCTGAGGCCCCATACGCTGGCAGAAGAGGAGCAGAGGGTTGGTGACGGAGAGGTGGATGTTCTGTGGGATGTTCTGTGTTCTGGAGGGATCCCAGCAGTGGGTGCTGTGAGGTGGTGTGGCGTGCAGTCAGCAGATTGTGTGTTTGCAGCCCTCTTACCTGCCAGTTTGCATCAAAACTCTCAATGAAGCAAGACCTAGATGTGAAGGGCACTGCTGGCTTGCAGAAGAGGTTACAGAAAGGGTCATTTTGTTACACTTCTGAAATCGGGAAACAATCATTAATGAACTAGTTCTTCTCAATAGCAGAGCACTATTAATTTGAGGACATTTATTTAGGAATGTGAGGAATTAAAATATGGGCCTGTGTTCTTGATACTGGTCCCCAAGATTTGTTGTCCAAAATTCAGGCTCTTGCAGCTTGATGCTCAATGCAAGGGGTGCATCTGGCTCCAGGTGAGGCTGTGCAGCCTGTGAGCGCTCAGCACCTCTTAGGGCTGGCATTAGCACTGGGGTGCCCATGAGACAGCAGCTATCGAGTTTAAACAAAACAACAAAAATCTGATGGAAGAAAGAACTTGCCTAGCATCAGAAGCTGTCAGGAAGAACATCCTGCCCTCCTCTCTGCCGTTCTCCACTGCAGAACAACTTTGAAATTAGTAAACATTGGGCAACTTGCAACCAGCAGGCAAATAATCTCCATGGCAGCGTGTTACACACAGCTTCAGGCACATCGTGTGCCCCTTAAACACATCAGAAAGATCAACAGAGCTGCCTGGTCATGGTGTGACGTTCACTTCCAGTTTTACATGAAGAAGCATTGCATTTTCAGTTCTGTTAAGCTAGGAAGCAGTTCCCCTGAGGAAACCTTGGGAAGAAGCTATGAAAGGGAACATCAGTTACAGCCTTTTGCCTGGAGCTGATGAAGCGCAGGCACTCCTGCTGCTACAGAGCCCCATCAGTGGTTTCACCCTGCCCGCTCAACTCTCAAAAGGTCTTTTCCCCTCTGTCCCCACTGCTCCTTCTGCAGTACAGAACCACTCCTTGGATGCTTCTAATACAATGTGAAGAATGGCTTCAAATGGAAATGTGGGAAAAAAAAAATAGCAAGGATTGCCTCCTGGGATACAAAGTCCCCTGTTGAGATGGTAAGGCTGTGGAAGTGAGAGGAAATGAGCTCCTCCGTTTAGTATTTGACAGGATCTACTCAAAACAAAGCTATTAATTATATACATCCCCCCACCAAAAAAATACATAATTTTACAAATTAAATTTTGTGGTAGAAGTATGTTTTCCTCAAACCATCAACTTTCTCATAGGCAAATGTGACATTTTTAGCAACAAAATGCTACCATCACCCATCCTAGCTTTCTCTTTTTGCCAGGTGCAATCAGAGGCTTTCCTTGAATAACTGCTATAAATGGCAATGACACCACAAGGTAAAGTTTGCCCATTTCATGAATGAGCCCAATTTTTATTTCTCTTCATCACAAAAGTCATCCCACATTTGTTGTACACACTGTTGGTTGCTGTGTTACGGGACATATCACTACGTACCAGATGCTTTACTCTTGCAGAAGCATTTCTAATGGAGATGGAAGCTCCTGTTAGCTGAATTTTAGAACAACAGCAAAAAATAATACAAAAACAAAATATCATCTTCAGCTGCATAGCAAATATGGATCAAAAATTTAACACTGTATCAGATCACGAGCGTAAATATACCTCACCATAAATAAAACTCATTGTACAAAATAACTCAAGCAGCTTTTCATACAAATATGGTACATCTGACAAGAGCCTTTGAGAATATTTTCCTTTTTTTTTTTTTTACACCTTCAACTCTTTTTTTCTTTTATTCTCAAACACACATGAACCTATTGACTGGAGTAATGCTGGAGGAAAAAAAGACTAACATTTTGTTCAATGCTAATAAGTGCTGTCACAGTTTAAAAGGAAAACCACTGAAGTGCTGAGTTTGAACTAGTTTGCTTCCCCTTTCTATTGTATCATTGAAAGTCAAGTGTAACGTCATCCAAGAAAGGCATCTGCACTGCCAATAGTCAGTCACATTTCATAATGGTAAAGCTGGAGGGAACTTTACAATCGAGTCTGACTTCATTCATTATGCAAAACATCCTTGCCCCCCTCTAATTTCTATATTGAGTCAACAACTTGTCTTTGAAGTAGACGTTCTAACTGGCGGTTGTTAAACCCCAAAGTCTGCAACTATTTCAGAGTAATCAGGAGAATGTAGGTTAGCAAAAGTGAGCCTGTAGTCAGTTGACTTAAAATATCCATGGAGGGGTCCACATTTTCCTAGGAAAAAGTAAGAGGTCTGCAGATCATGAAAGGCTGCAAACTAGAGGGTAAGAGTACATCTGCAAGGAAGACATACAAACCTGGCAGAAAAAAAAATCAAGTGTGGAGAATATGCCTGATCTTTTGACAATCCGTTATTATTTAGCCCTGCTGTCAGAAATTTGCTCCCTATTTCCACCAACAATTATGCTGTTTAAAAAATAAAAGGGGGAAAAATTACACTTCACTGAGTTTTTTGAAGACCTAAGCCTGAACCTCTCAAATACAATCAAGGAGGATTAGAAAACTGAAACTAAAGAGTAGCTGAATCCTTCAGATAACAAAAGGACAGTAACATTCAGTCTCAGAAATGAAGACCGTAAGATTATCCCTAGCTGATCTCATACTCCTTGAACAACAAGGCAAAAACAGCTGCATCCACTCTACAGCCAAAAGTATTTCACATTTTGTTCATGCACTTTGGATGTTTTGCTCAAAACATTTCACCCCTCAGAATCTGAAGGGGTTCCATTCTGCCAGCAAATCTGAAGGCAAAAAATAGACCCACCTGTCTATTCATCCACCTGTTTGTTCAAGTACACAACTGTGTTTTGCAGGTTTTCAGAGAATTATCAAGCCAAAGCTACAGCAGAAGAATGTAAAGAGAGATGTTTAGGTAAAAATCTCATGACTCACTCCAAACCTGAACAGATGAAAGCAGATGTTTATATTCAACTTACAATATCCTATTTTGTCTAGCTATTTGAGACTGGGCAGTGTGGTACAGTTTATCCTTCTGTATTCTTGCTCGTGCTGTTTTCTACCAAGCCTCCAACATCCTGTAACATGTCAGAAGTAGTAGGACATTCACTTTGTGCTGTGCTCAGAGATGGCTCTGAGAGCCAGAGACCTGTGCCACCTTTTCAGAAACACTTTCATACCAAAACAACAAGCATTTGCTATTTAGGTGATGAAAAATAGGATTGTGGTTGGATCTGTCTTGCTTGTATCCTGTTCTCCACAAAAAAATAAAGTGCTTGATTCTCTTCCTCCTTTAAATATACATATATATATAGCTGTAGACACACTCCAGTAGTTTCAGCAGTGTAGAAGTGTTGGAACACAATGGAAAACCAGAACTAACATCCTTAGTAGAGAAAGTAAATAGAGAGCAAGAGTCCCAGGTCCTTATTGCTCTTTTGCTGCTCTTCCTTACAAGGTGAGGGAAACAACTCACCTTCCGAGGCTGGTCCTTCCCCACCACTTAAAGGTTTCAGCCAGACTTCCTGAGATTTCATTTTACTTTCAGATCACTGTGCCGCGCTAGTTCCTCCCAGCAGTTTAAGTGTTTATTTCAACTATTAAAGGAGACTCAAGGTGTGCAAATGTCCAGCACTTTGCATGTGTGGGTTATTTGTTGATTAGCAAGGAAATAGGAGAGTGTCTGGGAGAACAAATTCATCCCACACAGCAAGGTCTCGTCTTGCTAATAATGCAGTCCTGGCTGTTGTTTCCTAAGACAAAATATTCCATGTGGGACATTTCTACTAATTAATAGTATGTTTCCTCTGAGAGAATGCATGCCCGGACTCTGCCTTTTTAACATCTGTAGTAGCATTCAGTTTACATGGCATGATGAGATGCATAAAAAGAATATATTATAACATCTGTATATTGTAAAAGCAAATATCTGCTGTGATCTGGTTTAAGCTGAGAAAAAAATATTGCCAGTGGTGATGCTATCATTATCTTCTCCTGGAGCATGTGGTTTGATCTCTGTTAGCTTCAAGCACAAGGTTTTGTATTGCTTCTATGGGGGGAGCAGGGAAAAACCATGAGTTCTGAAATTCTTCCTTGAAGTTCCTACTGATTTTTTTTTCCCCAACATCTGATAACTCTAGGGCTATTAGACGAGCTGAGTTGGAAAAGGAAACAGACTTCAGTGTTCCCTCAGAATGCTTTTGAGTCTGGAAAATACTGTTTCTGTCATTTTTGAGTGATGGGAAGCTTACTAAGCCTTGCTGGTACACACCATTCTCTCAAGAAAGATATTTGATGACTAGGAATTTGTCTAAAACAAGGGGAAATAGGATTCCAGAGCATACACAAATTTTACTTGGGCAGATAATGATAGAACAAGAGGGGACGGTTTTAAACTAAAAGAGGGGAGATTTAGACTAGATGTTAGGAGGAAATTCTTCACTCAGAGGGTGGTGAGGCACTGGAATCATTGCCCAGATAAGCTGTGGATGCCCCGTTCCTGGAGGTGTTCAAGGTCAGGCTGGATGGGGCTTTGAGCAACCTGGTCTGGTGGGAGGTGTCCCTGCCCATGGCAGAGGAGTTGGAATTAGATGATCTTTAAGGTCCCTTCCAACCCAAGCCATTCTGTGATACACATTCTAGCTCTCATCCTCAGCTGAATCAAAGATCACGTATGTTTGAGGTAACTACAGCTGCCTGCTGTCAGAATCAGTGACTGTTTTTACCCAAATTAGCATGGACAAAAGCATATTCACGTGAATGCAATCTCTTCCATGGTCCTTGTTTACTTTATGGAAGATGTGTCTTCAGGGGAGAACCTTTGAATTAAAATAAGTGGATGTCCCATAGCAGTGAAAAAGCCAGGCCGTTTTCGATTTCCTCCAGCTTTCTGAAGTGCCAAGGAGTTATTTGACAGCTACTTCATCACTGTTGTGAATCCTGACTGCCAAAGCTCCCTTTAGCAGATGCTAGACAGGCCAACAACTTGACAGAGAGCACACAGCTAGCCCCAGCCTGAGGCATGAAGCAAACCAAGGCTGGCCAGGCCCGGCCCCTCTGTGCCGATCCTTGGTCCTCAGGCTGCTGCCACGGATAAAATCCTGCCTTCATCCCCTCTTTCCCCAAAAGAGCAAGTCAGGGTTTGTCTTCAGACCTTCCTGCCCCATGGCTGGTGGCACATGTCACAGGTGGGGTTGATTTGCCCTATTGCTTCTGTGGTGGGAGCGGGCTCCCAGCACTGCGGAAACACGCAGCTCTTCCAACAGGAGTCCCACCTCTGGGGCTGCAATATGGCTTCAGAGTTTTGGGTTAGACTGGACGAATCACAGGGAAAAACAGACCACTTCATGGAAGAAAAGCACATTTTGCCCGCCCGCTCCCACCCGCCCCCAAGTCTGAAAGCTACAAGTAAAACGGGTCACAGGGATGGTACAGAAGAACATGCACTCAACAGGGCCAGATGGGAAGATGCGTCCTTGTGTCGTAGGCATACCCAGTCTTGTTTTGTTGCCAGGTCGCATGCCGTCAAGTTCATCCTCCCAGTTGTTCTGGGCTCAGTCTCTTCTCCCTTCCCAATGCACATGGGGGTAGTGTCCACACTAGCAGGTGGTGGCCAGCGACTGGTGGATGGGGGGCTGGAAGCAGCGCACGTGCTCCACCGTGGAACTGTCTGTTTCCACCGACTTCATGTACTTGTTCAGGATGGCAAAAATCTCGTTGTTCAGGATCTGATACTTCCTGATCCTGTCGGCCATCTTTTTCAAGGGCTGGAGGGACGGCGAGGAAGAAAAACAGTCAGTGAAGAGAATTTCATGTCATCTGACCAGACAGAAGTATTGGTACCTCTGCCCTGCTGCTAAGAAACCTCTGCTAAAGCAAAGCAGCTATAACACGTGTTACAGTTCCACTTAGCACCTCCCAGGGACCGGTGACTCACTTCATTATAGGGTTCGATGACTCAAGAGAGAATTAACAAGGTCAGTGAGTGGTCCTGTGTTAACCGATCTAGAGTTAGGACTCCCAACTGCTTATTGATAAAGCCACTGAGATCAAAGGCTGGTTGCTGGAAATACCAGCTTCTCTGTTCCAGCTTTCCAACCCCAGGAAGAAGGTAAAAGCTTTGGGAGAAAAAAAGATTTGATTATCAAGCCAATTAAAACCTTGGCCTCTCTGCTGAGACTGCAGATGGAAATCTGATATCAAGTGTATCCAGTTTCAATAAGGTTAACACCAGGCAAGGCAGAAAAAAGAGAGAGAGAGGTGTGCTGGTTCAGGTCTTTTGGGACCTTACCCTTCAACTTACCACGTTTTTTATGATTTCATCCTTCCCATCCTGCCTCTGCACCTTCAGCAGGTGGTAGCAGAAGTCAAAGAGGTCAAAGCGCCGTTGTTGTCCAAGGAGAACAATGATCGAGCAACCTGCCCAGTTCAGACCATCTCCAAAGCACTGCCTGGAGGGAGGACAGGATAGAGTTAGGTAAGAGCTGTCCTACCATGATACCAGGAACTTTCCTTGGTGGGGGAAAATCAGATTCAGTCCTATCCCTGGAAAGTGGGTGTACACCTAGAGAAAAACTCAGGGAGACCTGCGGAATTACATCAGGACCAGTGCATGGTGCTTCACCTAGCATGGTGGATGAGGACCTTGCCTCTGACTTGGGTTGTACCCATCTACCCATTTTCTTCTCCATGTTACCTTGGGCATGTCACTTTGTATTGCTCTTCTTCTCCCCATCTGTTCCGAGGGGAAGCTTTTTGGGCATCTCTTTATGTCTATGCACAACAAAGTCCTGTCCTCAGGTCCCCATGTTCTCCCTCTACATCTCTGCTGGCTGAGGCAACTGCTGCAGCTGAGGGCATCCCAGGGGCTGTCTCACCCCACTACCTCATGAGCGGTGCTAAGGGCAGAGCCTTGGACACTCACTCTGCAGTGAACTCATTCGTGCCCACAGGGATGCAGTACACAAACTGCATCGCGCTCCAGAGGCGGTGAAACTCCACGCATTCGTCCACATGCATGACCCCGTTCGTCGGGGGGGGTCCGCGCCAGATCGGGTCCTGCAGGTAGCTCCTAATTCGCGTCAGGATCACCTCGAACATGGATAACCCGCAGCACAGCCGCTCCTTCGTCAGCAAGTCACCTTCCCGGGCGATAGCTATTTGCTGAGAAGGAGGCGAACCAGAGAAACAAGTGACAATGTAATACAGATGAACCCTCCTGCTGGACTTAACGATTCCTCGTCTCCCTGGCATATCCCGTGCAAGATCCACCCTTACCTCTGATGGTTGCTCCTCTGCCACTCCCCATCAGAAGTGGCTCAACCCTCAAATAGAAGATGACTTACTATTGTGCTCAATTATATTTCAGCAAGCTGAGTATCTTTGGAATAACTACGTATCAGGAAGCAAAAGCTGAAGGCCAAACTCTGATCAGAAATACCGATCCCTAATTCTGCTAGCATGCTGTTCTGTTACATGAGCACTGCTCGATGTTGCCAGGCTTAATTTCATGATTTTTGCAGATTATGAAAATGAAACAGGAGAGAACACAGACATTTTCCTTCCCAGGGCATTACCATCATCTCTAAAACACAGATAGGCTACAACTTCCTTGAGTTCCTTTGCAGTTAGGGTTGAAAAGCTCTGAGGAAGATGAGAAGCCACTGGAACCTTAATACTGGAAAACCTGTGGTTTATAAGAAAGTCAAATAATCATTTTTTTCCAGCTGTGAAGCTTTCCACATGCATAGAATTTCTGTGATGTCTCCACTCAAATTTCCACAAACAAATCGGGAATGGCTCCACTGGATGGAGCGTGGAGTTCGCTGACTGCCCTGATGTCCTCTTTGCTGCCCCACATGCCATTACTGACTTCTTGCAGTGCAGCCAAAAATACCATGGGAAACAGAACAGCCAAGTGCTGTCAGAGTCGTGCCGGTGGCCGTGGAGGTAGGAGGCTCCAGCTCACCCCGTTGGATGGGTGACAGCCACGGGGCTCTGTCTGTGCAGGCAGAGCCTTTTACCTATTTCACCGCTTTGGCAGCAGCATGCAGAGCAAGCGTGACACTTAGCGACCCCCCGCCTATCCTAGAGCACTTCCCGGAGCTTCAGGTAGTTTTTAAGCATTTGCTCTATTTTCAGCAATCTGCCTAATGCCTATAAAAAAACAGTTATCCTGACCAGAATCACAATGGAGGCTCAGGTAAAAAGCACAGGCATATGTCCCAGCTAGACATCAAGAACATGAATTTTGCTCAGTTTATGTGGGTATTCTTTCTTCTGCACTAAAAAAGAATAAAATCTGAATGTGCATATATTCTTTTTCCTGACTATTGGTTTATGCTGGTATTAACCTAAAGCATTTTTAGTTTGGTAGCTATTGAAAGTGCTACAATTCCTGCTTTTGCCACAATTCCAAGGACGTTCCGGGAACCTTGGAGCAATTAATATTTAACTACTGGCAAATATCAGGGGAACACTGTATTGCTCTACAGAGGACAGATTGAGTCTGGGATCTCTAGATTTGTTAAACTCAGGAATAATTATCACCTGAGTTTCACGGCACGTGTTTTCTTAGCAAGTAAGGATTTATTTCATCCGGTATGTTTTTATAGCTAAAGGCTGTACTTACACTTTTTCTCCTCACCTGCTGCAAACTCTAATAATAGATAAACATTAGTGTCTGCACACAGTAGTCTGTGACGGCAAAATGGGGACACAACAGAAGTAAAGCCAGTTCACATGTAAATTAAATGTTAGCATTACTGTTTGCTAAGGTGCAGTGATAAAACAGATATTTTTCAAAGAACTAGCCCAATGATCTTAGTAAGCTTTCTTCAGAAATGACCATCTAGGAAAGGATGTATCTAGTTTTCAAAAAAAAAAAAAAAAAGTGATACCACTCACACTTGCAGGCAGAATTTGGTTCTAAAATTCACCTCCCTAAGACCAGTCTTTGACATAGCACTACTCTCATTTGGTAGATATTTAACGTGGAGAAGGCAGCTGGACAGTTATTGGTCTTTTGCCAAATCTGCCTGGGGTTTCACTGACTTCTATGATAAAGAGAGGAAGGGTGATCTGAGGATAAACTGTCAAGGGATGCCACTGTGCTAGCTCAGCTATTCCCTCGTGTCTTCAAAAGAGAAAGACTCCCATTACTTCCAATGAAAAAATTAATTGATGAAGCACTTTTGAAAATCCCTTGCCAAATATCTACTCAGCATTAAAAGGGAGATGATTCCTTTAACCAACCACTATGACCCCCCTGGTTCTTTATGAATCACCTATCAAACAGATACTTATGGATTTCCAGTGCAGAATATTTACCACGTACTCACTGACAGTTTTCCTGTCGTTGCACAGACTCAGTTATGCCATACCTCTTTTACAGTTTGTTAGTTGCAAACTTGCCAGAGCCGTACCCAAAGCTACAAGACTGCTGGGAAAGATCCCCACTAACTTGCAGCATTTGGCTCAGACCCTTCACAGCAGGTAATTATGTGCAGAGGGACACCTTTGGCAGCAGCCAACTTCTGCTCAGATTCTGGACAATTGCTCTAAGGCACTTATGCATTCTGCAGGAAAAACCCTGTATGGCCTGTGTCCAAAACTGCATTTCCAGGAGCAAGCTAGAAGCTATGGAGGCACCTACAGAAAGTCATTCTTGTGTTCATTTACGCCTGAGCTCAAAAAGTTCTGGTACTCAACTGTACCCGTGTGGTGAATGTGGGAATGGTTTACGGAAAAATTAATTCTTAGCGGGACATGAAATACCCTTTGTTTTCATCATCATAACTATGGCGAGGATAAGCAACAAGTGGACTCTAGTAGCAGAGTTCAATGATGGTTTTGCATGGAAAGAAGGAGAGAGAGAAAGACCAACACAAAGACACAAAAACACAGAGGTGAATTCTTTTTCTCGAGTGTCTCCTTTGAAAGGAAGCCAATGGGGAAGTGCGAGAACTGTCTATAAAGTAAGACAAAGCTCTCAGTTATCCGGCCAGTTTCTTTGTTTCATATGATTTTCAATGAAGCAAAGTTCTAAATATCCTTGATCCATTATAAAAATGAGACAAAATTAGTAACTTTCTGCCTGCCTTCGATCTGTCACCTCATACAACTGAGCATTTGTTCCATTCCTTCAGCAGAAGATTACAGAAAAAGGGTGTTGATTTATTTAACACAATGACTTTTATCCTATTAACTCCACTAACTGGGCAGTGGAATTTTGGCTACTGGTATCAGTGGGACTCAAATCATGCTCAGTACATTGATCAATCCACTGGGATAATTTCAGCAGTACTCAATTTTTGCACAACATAGATTATTTTTTTTCAAGCTAAGACCCCACCTCAAGACAACACTTAAATGGAGCTGTAATTTTAAGCATGTGCCGAAGCTCTAAGCACGTGCTAGGAGGGAAACCATTCTCAGATGTATTCCTTGACAGGGATGAGCTTAAAAATATACCACAAGGCAGTCCTAAAATGGGATCCCCAAAAGTGACAGCAATTGATTAAGCCAGGGACAGCCCTGCGATGTTTCCCCATGAACCATCCCAACAATTCTCCATCTTTTTAAAAACGGAGAGGAAAGAGGGTTTCAAAGCTGTCCATATTCAGAGCTGGCTTCTCACACTCTTGCGTTACAGCTCCCTGCCAGCACTCGAGACCGGAGGCAGCAACGCACCACCTCTGGACCTGCTCACAAATTTCCCTTTGATGTGTCCGCTAGGGCAAGGATTCTGATTTTCTTGTCCGATTGGCATTTTGGAATAAATAAATAAGTAAAGGATCACTTTCCCAAGGCCAAACAGGCCACGTGGGGACTGCTATGAATTTTCAACAGCCATCCCTTTCAATGAAATCCTTACCTGCGGAGTGCCCAGCCTCTCTATTAAGGGAACCAGGTGAAGTGGGGCATACTTGGCTTCGAGACGCTTCATGCGCACCTCCAAGCGTTCTCCTTCTGTCAAGCGAGCAGCAAACAGTGAAATGAGAGGAGGAAGTGGAGACCCGCAATTTCCGCCGAGTTTGCTCAGAGCTGCCCCCCAGCAACCATCCAACGAGACTTTGGATCAATGAGCCAAACCAACAGCAAATGAGGGGACCAGTGATGCAGAGAAGGGCGGGATGTGCGATCGCAGTCTCAGCAGCAGCTTAATCACACATGTCCAAAAGCATGTCCCTGTTACTGATCACTCCTGTTGAGATGGACATTTCATGCTGTCATTCTCCAAAGAGGCTGCAAAATGGCTTTAGAAGTTGAAAGGAACCCCCAAACTGACAAAGGTTTCAGTCTGTAACTAGGCTACAGAAAATGCACTGTTGGCATTTGTTTCCACCTGACTTTTGGCTGTATCCACTATCTAAATAGATATGCTTAGAGGGGGAAGCAGGGCCAGAACTGATCCTCGGCAGAAATGGGAGAGAAAGGGCTCTTGACAGAGACCTTTGAGTCTGTCCACTGCTGCCCTCTGAGCTTCTTACCTTTGATGTAGACCCTGGGCAAAATATTTTGGAAGGGAGCAGCATGCAGCAAATCACAAACTTCTTCCTGGGACTGAGGCAGGAAGAAAGAAAGATACAGTAAGTTAAAAAAACATCTATAGGGGGTGATTGTATGGCTCAGGGGTCTGGGCAACAATTCAACAACCCAATCACATCTACAGCACCTAGTCAAATCCAACCCAGCTCACTACTAAATCCAATAGTTTGAATCTAAATGAACTAAAACTGGAAGAAACAGCTCTCAGATTAAGCTAGGAACTTTTTATAACTCAATTTACCTTATGCCTATGCAAGGCCAGAGCCTCATTTTGTTTTCTGGTCCACTTACTAATACTGCAAGTAAGGGGGGATAAAGGTCATAGAGATCTGTTTTATCTTACCCCTTGTTGTAACTGTTGTTTTTACTGAGTATGCCCAGGTAGGAATTACCCTTTGGCTTAGTTATTCTAGGATGTGTACATGTAAAATACACTGATGCATGGCTCCATTGTAAATAGGTATGTAATATATTGGCTGAAATTGTTTGTTTGTTTGTATGGTGTTCACAGCCAGTGCTATCCAACCAAAATCCCAGTGGTACAGGCCCTGGGGAGAATAGTACAGAAGTCCAGAGAGCAATAACATCATGAGATGCCACCTGAGAGGATGCATGCCAATGCACTAGAGAAAAAATAATCCCAAACATAGATGCACAAGGAGGAGAAACCTGGAAGTAGGAAGGTGGAGACTGAGGAGCGATGGCTGACAATACATCATATACGAGTCTGCAATGGGAAACAGCAGCAAGGAAAACCAAAGCTGTTCGACACAGAGGCATTGCGTCACGACACGGCATTAGTTTGCTCCTGTGAAACTCTAGTTCTAGGACATGCTTTCAGTTCTGAGCTTACCATAGGGATTTAGACACACTCGAGAGGAGGTCATGAGAGAGCAGCAAAGATTTTCAGGGCCAGATGGAATGACTCAGCTGGGTCTGCTTGGGATGCGCGGGTGGGTACCCCATCTTCCAGCCCAGAGGGAGGGGACAGAGTGGCATGGAGCTGCAGGAGGCTGTACTGGCGTCATGGATGCTGGCATGGGAGCGTGTTTGTGCGAGTGCAGTCTGTGACAGTGCTGGAGGGAGAGGAACAACACGGGGTCCCTCCTTGGGCATAGAGGTGTTGGTGCTACCAGAGCGTGCGTATCGCCTTTGTTATTCTGTTTGCAAAGCTCTCTTCCTCCCTAGATGAATGTTCTTTCACTGCTCTTTCCCTCTGATAAAGAGAGTATTTTCTGGTTTTGCAGCCTGCATTCACCTAATATCTGTCCTAAAATCAGTCATGGGAGATTTTCTCCCCAAGGCCCATTACCTGAGAGTAAAAATTCCTCTTAGAAATTTAGTCCCAAGCAACACCTCATCCCTCAAATTTAAACAGTAAAAAGGGTACAGAACAGAGCAGACTGCTAATCTTCCCTAGAGCAGTCTCTGCCAGCAAATACCACCAGCCTTAGATTAGGCTGACAGCTATGAAGATAACTGCACCGTAAAAGCAATTGTGCCTCCAGCACAGGGGCTCCATTAGAGGAAAGATCTCGTTGCACAGTGTCTCCAAGCATCTGACAACCCTCCAGCAAGCAAGAACCAGTGCCTGCTGTATGCAAAACTGCTTTATATTCTGAATCAATTTCTGTGTGGAAAAAATGAGGATCAGAGAGGGCGAGGACTTTGCTGGCATGGAAGGTGGGCAGATGTGGAATTTGATGGGCAGCCTTCCTAAAAGGACCCCCAAATTCTCACTGTGTCCCTTATTTTATGCTATTCTAAAATGTCATTATATTGCCAACGTACAGCTCCTGGAACTGGCAAAAACAGGAGGAATGTTTTTGCACTCCATTGAAACATTGCTAGAAGAAACCATCACATGTCCCTTAAATATCAATTTGGAAGATGGGACATAAAAGGCAAATGTAGTACATCTAGCATAAAATTCAACACAGAACAGCCAAGAGCAATGACAAAGCCACAAAAGGAATAGAAACTGCCAGGATACTGTTGGCAACTCTGGTCATTCAATTAAATAAAGCCAAGCTGCTAGGTGATATCTCTCTGGTTTTCTTAACCTTACACAACTGCTGCTCTCTGAATGTGTGTGATGCACCATATTAGCAACTAGAAGGCTCTATAGCTGGGCTTAAAATGTGAGGGCAAGGGCAGACATATCCTTTTTGAGGATATGCAGAGATTCTCAGTTTTCCTGGTATTCTATGGTTGAATAAACTTGGAATCTTTGAACTTTCTTCTGGTTTCACTCTGAACGGAAATGTATGGCTTTGCTTGGAAATCCCATTTTGCGCTAGAGAACCCTTTCTAAAAAGAATCCTTAAGACCTGATAAAACTCTGTCAATACCATTCTGACATATGCATGATAATGCAAACCTGTTCAACACTCCTCAGTTGGCTCTGACATGCATTCAGCCCCAGCCTTTATCCCACACCAGCTCAATCAAGTCAGAAAGGAGCTAAGAGGCTGAGAGTCTTTTGCAGGTGTAAGACACTTGGGCAAGGGGAAATATCAGGTTATCACTCTAGCTAAGTTTTGGTGAAGATTAAGTCATAGGAAATATCACAGGATCATCCGCTCTGAGATTTCCTTCCTGTTGGATTGCTTTATCCTTAACATCATTAGGACCAATCAGTTTTTCCTTTGCACTGGCACCCCAAAAAAGCAAAGGGCTCAAATCTACTCCTCGCTGTAAGAGTATGTATATATATGTATACATATATATAATATATAAATATATATAGTAACAATCCCTGCCCCAAGGAGCTTACAATCTAGAAATAAGCCCCAGTTGTTTTTATTTCTCAGAAGGACAAACATGGGGTAGCTTTGGGTCCAAGAATTAAATCTAGATCTTCCAGTATTCAGATTCTCCTTGAGCAATCCCAGATGTCAGTGACACAGCACCAATGCAAATCATCCCCATGGATCCCAGTAACACAGCCCTAGAGAGACCCTGAGCACACAAAAAGCTGGTAATTTTCCCAAACTCTTCTGTTAGAGAACCAATACTCTTGAGCTGGCAAATTCAAGTACAGTCTGTTGGTGCAGGGGGTTTTGCCTTACCAAAGCCTGCTCAATAAGGAGGCAGAAGAGAATGGCATTGCCCACTTCTCTGAGGCTCTGGAACACATCAGTCTTCAGCTCTGCGTACTCAATGATGTCCTTCAGCTGGTGGTGGAAAAACTCCAGGATGCCTTAAAAGACAAGGAAGGACAGTCAGAAAAGTGAGAGCCAAAGCCTCCTCCAGTGACTTGGATTAAAGGACAGTCAGTGCCCGGTGTGTCCTACATCACGAACTGCAAGCCGTGACTGCTAAACGGATAGACAGATCAGTGCTGGGGAGAGCTAGCATGCAGGGTCTCATCCTGCTTTCACTAACCCTTGGGAAATAAGGAGCAATTCATATGAAGGCCTTGCATTTCCTAATCAGAGGAAAAAAGAGATTCCAGGCTGTAATGGCTGTCCTTGTGCTGGTTCATGTATAACAGAGTTCCCCATCCGGATCAACTGCAGACTGCAGCCATGCTGCAAAAAAATCTTCACAGCAACTAAGCAGAGCTTTTGAAAAAAAATAAAAGTGACCCCACAGTAACAAAAGCTTTAAAAAAGTCCTGAAAACATAAGTTAAGCTACCAGCAGATGTTCCCTTATGAATCACCCGTGTGTTGAAGAGAAATTTCTAACAGGAAATTTCCTGGAAAAGTTTTCCATACATGTTCCAGTGTCAACAGCAAACCAGCTGGAGGTTTGTTCCAGGGAGACAGGGCTGGAAGCTGCACCCAGGTGCCAATCCTTGTTTAATTACTGGTTGGTGCCTGAGTTAATGCTGCACAAACACGTGGGCGAGCTCTTGCTCAAAGCATTATGCATCTCTCTGTAGCACCCACCTGGAGAGCCGTATTCGTGTCTTGGCAAGCGGCAAATCTTGGGCATTACTTCTATCAGAGTCTTCACGTACTGCAGGATGGTGCCTTGCAGCTGTCAGAGACAAAGGGAGGTTAAACTCTAAGGATGGCTTCTCCTGGCACAGGTTTTAAAGAGGACAGCTTGTGGCTAGGGCCATGTCTGACAACAAACGGTGAAACTGGAGTCTAAGAAGAGCTTGCTTCGTTTGGATTTCACCCAGACAGAAAATCCAGCCCAAGTGCACGGAGATTTTACTGCTTCCTCCCAAAGAATAAATCATGGTTGCCTGGATTTTGAACTTCAAAATACAGCTTGCTGTGTTTGCGTTGTTTGCAGCTGAAATCCAAACAAGGCTCAGCCTTGGATCCAGCTGGGCTTATGCTCCTAACCCACAGAACATTTGACCAGAGCTGCCAGAGGAGTAATTCCACAGCACAGGAAACGCTTTTTCCACCTGATGAATGATCACTAGATACTGAGAGTTTAAATAAATAAATAATTTACATGCACGTAGAGCAAGTTTCTGCGGATTGGATGTTTTGAACTAACACGGACAAGAGCGAAATATATTTCTTAGTTAGAAAAGCTTGCTGTCATTTGGAATTATATACCTGCATCCTGTAGACACATTATATGGGATTATGCGCTAAACACAATTTAGTCCAAATGCAAGATCTCTGTCTTGGCACGGAATGCTGTCTGATCTCGCACACCAGCTACAGCATTTTCAACTAAGTGACACAAATTACATTGTCAATAGCTACAGTACTTTACCGTAGAGAAACTGGATATATGCTGGAGATTTTCAGTCCTATATTGCTTTGCTAGACACATTCAGAATGACATTATTGCAGCCAAAGCAGAATTTAAATATTTATAATGAGTTAAAGTCTTCTCTCCAGTAAAGCAGGTTTTTTGGTAGAAAAGCGTGACCTGAAAAATTGTACATTTTTGCATACCCCCTCCTGCCTTGTTAGTGCTCTGTATTGCTAGCACCCTTAGGGAGTGTTTCCCTGTGGATATCACATCTCTCTTCCGAGGGAACTACAAAGCAGATGGAGCTACTGGCCACCTGAGTGTCTGATGGAAACGGCCATATGGCTTGAACTCATAAGAACTTACCTACAGCAGGAATTTTCTTAAAGCCTTTTTCATCAGTTTTGTGTCCTGCTCTCTACCTCCCCACAGGTCCCCAGAGGTATCAAAAAGCAGTGAGACAGAGGTTTTTGTGCCACTGCTGAGTACCAGCATGTGTCTTGGAGGTCTCCCAGGCTGCAGCACAAGTGGTGCTGAGGGGCAGTGGGGACGAGCACCGCATCCCCTTGATCACCTCTTGGTGGCTTTTAGCAGAGCAAAATGCACGCACCAGTACGCCCAGATCTGGGCAGCACTTCAAGACAGTGGGAAGACTACGAACAGATTTGAACACCCTGAACCAGGGCCCAAAGCCCAGGCTGACTGCCCGACCTAACCCTCTCAAGGCATCAGGGTTTCTCCATCGCCAGGGTTAGGGTCACAATTACCAGGCTCTTGACGATCTTCAACAGCTCCTCCATGACCACTGCGATCCCTTGATAGCCAAGGAGCCTGCAGATCGTCTTGAAATGAGGCGGCCCCACGAAATTGCGGTAGGAGCTGTAGATGTGACTGTAGGCAATGTTGAGAGGCTGAGAAGTTAGAAGCACAATGACAGTTAGACAGCATTTACAGGACCTGTAAGTAATTCTCTTATCTTAGTATTAGGCTCCAACACTTGAAATAATATTTAAGAAAAGCAGGAGAAATAAAAATCCCTGTAAGAAATTTATTGTAAGACTTCTTGTGGCACGAAGAGATTGCTTTTGTTTCCGTGCAGTCAAATATATTTGAGTCTGAACAAATTGTCACATCACAAGGTTTATTATCAGTGCTGTGTAACCAACACCACTTTCATTTCCCAGGTAATTTGCTCTCCCATATATTCCCAGTCAAAGATTTCAGTTCACTGGCCTTTTGTTTCTTCAAGCTCAAATTCTTCTGTGCTAAAATTGAAAGCATTATACACAGATAACAGGAGAGATTTTTTTTCCCCTCCTATTGGCACTCACTTCAAATAAGAAATACTAAGAAAAGTAGGAATTCCAGCATCTGAGCCTAAGAGCAGTGGGAAGAGACACAGAAATGATCCTTTCCACACCCCATGAACCCTACATGTACTTAAGACATCCACGTGTGACTGAGAAAAAGGGGAAGAATCTGGCTTTTGTCTAGGGAACACCCTTGGCGCTCTGGCCCCCAGAAAATTTTTAGCAGCAGAAAACAGGAGGTGATTTCCAGGAGCGTAATTTGTCAGTACCATGTTAGAACTGATAGCAGCAGGGAATTACTGCAATTTTTGGTCATTAGAACATTTTTGGATCCATTTGGTGTAAGGAAAGGAGAAGTGGGAATTAATTCACTTGTGTGATCAGAAGGAAAAAAAAAAAAAAGAAAATGAGTTTTAGCTGAGGCAGTGCATGCTCAGCTTGGGCTCTGCAAGAGAAGTGCTGGCACCGTGACTCAGCCCTAGCAGGGAAGGGCTGCAGCCTCCCCCACGCGATCTGGAACAACCACGGCTTCAGTAAACAGCACCAAGCATGAGCTTGAGGAGCCTCAGGCGTGCAGTGCCCCTTCCAGCAAAATACGGATACCCCCGGCTCATGTATTCTGGAACTAAATTGTATCCCAAGCATGCCGTGCACGGCTGGTTGCGCTTCTGACATGAGCACGGCGTGCCGGAGGTGTGCTGCATCCTCACGCAGCAGGGAGCTGGCATCCCACAGCTGTCGTACACCCAGCTCGTCCTCCACTTCTTGCTCACTTCCTTGGGACTTACACAAAACGCCTAACGAGTTACAAAGGGGAGTCATTTGCTAAGCACCAGGAAAGTGTGTTCTTTTGCTTGCAGTTACAGAATTTCTGCTGACTGATGCACTGATGGCACTTTCATAGACTTGGCAGTTGCTTTAATCAATTAATTAATTGTTCCTCATTTTGTTACAGCCCTGTTGCTTTGTTCCAGGGATGTATCACCTACTATGATTCACAGGCGCTCTCTGAAACAGCTAGCAGAAAGAAGACAAAGTTAGAGAGTCCCCTACATTCTGTGAAACAGAACTTCACCTCCTGGCCCTGGTAGATAAATAACAAAACCCTTCTACTCTATCCTGTGCATCAATACTTTTAGGTATAGAAAGGCAACCTTGTAGGCTCTGCTTTGCATTCATTCACAATGTGCATAAACTTTCTGTCCCGTCTCATGAATAACTAAGGGCCAGAGTTTAAAATAGATTTAGGCAGATAGAAGCCGACTTTCAGAGCTCCTTCAATGCCAACTCCTGTTAGGAGATCTGCTGTTGAATATCCAGCTTAGGCTTCTACCTGCATCCTTAGATATCCAAGGCTGTAAAAATCTGTCTGTTAAGGCGTGATCCAAAGCCACAAGATACACACACTGATACGAGTAGAAAACAGCAATAGCTTCTGTTTTGAGAAGCATGCTTGTTTAACCACCAGGTGACGCCCAGCCTGCAACAAGTGCCCAAGGGCTGGCACCCCCATGCAGAGTCACGGCCACTAGCCCCAGCACAGCCCCTGCAGACAACAGAGACCCGGGGGGGATAAATATCCCCATTTCAGTAGGCTCATGAATCAGTACTCACTTCTAGAAGCCCCTTTTCTGCTCCACAGCTAGGAGACGGTGCTCTGCACGTGCAATGGTGCCTGAGCTGGGATGTGACCAGTAGCCGGTCATGGAGGAACTGGTCACATTTTCCCTGTAATGGGGATGATATTTTGCTGCACGGGCATCGAGCGTCTGGTGCTGCCATGCAGCCTCCTGCCTAGCAGTGGGATAATGGGGCTGGAGAGCAGCTCTGAAGCTGACTTTTCCTTCAAGTGGGGGTCCCAGCAATAAGCTCGATGAGGAGAGGATCGTTTTGGGATGTGCACTGGCTGCAGACGAGCAGGATGATTCATCCCCGCCTGTCTGTGAGATGAGGTAGGTTTGTTGAGCTCTCCGCAGAGCCACACAGTGCATCAGCAGCAGGCTTGCATCTAATAATAATACCTTGTGAACAATTAAAATATAACTCCATTTAAGGGTGAGATACACAGCTTGGGTAAAAGACTGTAGGATGTAAAAAATGACACCAGGGTGTATTTTAAGAGAAACCAGCTGAACATACAAGGTGGTTGTGCAGCACGGCTCACTCCCCCGTGCTGGGTGGCTGCTGCCACCCCCTCAGAGAGCAGGAGCAAAGCCCCAATCTCACAGACTGTTGGGAGGTTTTGCTGTTCACAGGAGCAACAGCCACTGAGGACACTGAAGAGGTTTGCCCCAGCTTTGGTTTGGGGCCAAACAGGCAGGTTTGGGGGCCGGGAGGCTGGGTGTGCAGGCAGGTTGGGATTTGTAGCAGTGGGCAGAGCTCCCAGTGTCCCAGATCTCTTGGGACATAAGAGGAAAGCATGGGAGCATGTAGGAAAGGTCCCACATTGCTTTGGGAGCTAGTGAGGTTATTAGGAATGCCCCGGAGCACTGAACACCAGAGAGGCAAATGAAGGGAAACAAGAACTCGGTGTCATTTCCACATCTTCGAGCTCACTGTTGGCTATCACCCAGACCTGTCTGAGCTCACCTGAGGGAAGGCAGGGAGAATTTTATCTGATAAAATAGATCAGACAAAGAGATAATAGGTGATACTGCTTGTGCCAGAAGTCCCTTGGAAAAAAAAAATAAAGAACTAGCAAAAGAGGAATAGATTTAGAGACAAAAAAAAAAAGGACTATGAACTGCGTGCATATTCTGTGCCTCAGTATAATGCCTTGCTGTACTGGCTGCCGATTGCTACTCACACACACACACAGAGCTATTACTTACAATGAGCTGCTGGCCATGGCAGGACAGGCAGCACAACACATGCAGTCTGTTGGAGGGGCTCAGCAGCCCCCGCTGCCAACACCACCTGCAGCAAGCACAGCCCCGTAACGCCTTTGTGCCACTGCTGCAGCCCTGGCAGCAGAAAATAGAGCCACTCCATCCCACTCGCACGCCGTGACTATTTATACAAGTGCCAGCAGCATGCACTGCCCTGCAGGTTACGTCTGCCTGCATGTTCCTAAGAACTCATGGGCAAATTCAGCCCCCAGGGGAAGCAGTGATCTTCAGTGACTCTGGTGCAACCCTGGGCACAGCAGTGCCAAAACAGAAGCATTCATGAAAATACATCAATTAAGCTCCATCTAGAGCATTGTCAGAGCTAAGAAGCGGTTAACGAGCAGTAAGAAGTGGGTTGCTGGTGATTTTACAGCTTCTTTGTAGGAGACGTGAACACCTGCTGCATTTTCTAAGTGGCTGAATGGCAGAGGATGGCTCACTTTCTGCCGGTCACTTGAGCACACCCATGGATTGCCTGCTGCAGGGAGTGATGGCAGGCAGGGACAGCCGGGGACACCAGCAGGTGTTATTTGGGTAGTAGGGAACACCAGTGCTACAGCACTGGCACGGTTTTGGTGGGCTTTTTGTCCTAGGGAAATGAGAATTTCAAGCTCATCCCCCATGTAAACTGGTGCCAGCTTGACTTCGGGAGCAGGCAGTGCCAACACCACTGAAAGCTTTGGTGTGGTTCCCTTTGGGCTAGCGGTGAATCGCTGACTGGAGAAAGATTAGCAGGACCCTTTGCTGACCTAATTAAGTATTCCTGTTTTCCTTGGTTTCTTTTGTTCCTGTTAACACGTTATTTGTGAACAACTGAAATTTAATTTTGAAGCCACTGTGAACATCAGTAAACTCAACAGCCCAGCTGCAGTAGGGAAGCACTTCTCCCATGAAAATACTATCACGTGGTGTATACCACCTTTCCGAGCAAGGGTTTGTATCCTCAGCTCTCTCCCTCCAGGCAAGGATGTACTTTACTCACAGCACGGGAGCAGCTAAGAAGTCTCCCCCTGCTTCTGCAAGGAGGACCAAGTGATATAAAAGGCAGGAAGCCACCTGGGAGCACTTCCATTTCCATCCCTACCCATAATTATTTTCATCCTTAATCCCAGTTTTCAGCTCTCTGGCAGCTGCAGCTCACTCAGAAACAGACGAAAATACAGCAGGACCTGTAAGATAAAACACCCAGAACTGCAAAGCATCAATCAAAAGCAAGGGTGACATGTACAGCCCAGGCTTCTAACAGCCTCTCCTGATCCAGTCTGCATCATTTCCTCATTAATACAGTCTGGAAGATCTTTGAAACACTGCAATCACCTTTCTAGTAAGGATGTGGAACTAATAACTCCAGACCCAGAATCAACATTTCTTTTGGGAAAGTTTCCCTCTTGAATACATTTTGGCTTCAGAGAGCAGTGCGTCACTTCTTGAGAGCCTCTCCTTACTAGCTCTGCTGCCATATCTGTCCCCTCCTGGCCACAGGCTCAGGGCTGCTCCCCCAAACCCTGCTGCTGCCGACTCTGTCTCTCCCTCCTGTCCTCTCACCTTGCTGATGGGACATCCCCGAGTCTCCTGTAAGGCAGGGGCATTCAAAGAGCCTGTCTTAATCCCACAGGAGTTTAGCAAGGATCAAGGTCTTTGAAAATCCAGTTCCTGCTCCTACTACAAAGCTTGAAGAACAATTAAGAAGTGACTGTGTACTGCTGCAGCAGCAGGGTTGAAAACCTACTGCTCAACTAGCTTTGATTTAAAACAGCAGTTTAAATATGCAAGAAAAAGCATTAAAGACAAAGCCCTTCAGTGACAAACTATCAGTAGGTAATAATAATCTATCAAAAGGCCAGGAGCTGGATGTCATGCCCCGTGCCAGTGTGGCTCTGACCCCAGACCCTGCTGGGGGGCAGTGGCTCTGGAGCAGGGTTGCAGCGTTCTCACTGCGGGGCTGCAGGTAGGGAGGAAAGAAAAACAAAACCAAAGAGAAAACAAAACTGCCTGTCTTGTTTTTCTGCCTCAGAGACCCACTTTTCTCAGGCAAAAGCTTTTAGGGATAACGTTCCCAAATCATTGGAAGACGCCTGCCCATCCTTTCCTATTGGTTGCTATGGTGAGAGATGACGGAGCCCGAGATGGGTATAACACGAGGCAGTGCGCGGGGAAGGGATTTAGAGGCAGGAGGGACCTGGCGGTGGGAAGAGGGGAAGAAGGGAAGGTGCCACACTGCTCACCAGCACCGAGGGGCTGCTGCGGACCCGCAGGGGAGGTAAGCTGCTGCCTGCGGCGCCGGGAGTGCCTAGGGACGGGTGCTGTGCTTTCCTGCTCTGCTCCTAAGAATGCTTAAAACAGTCGTTAAGATGAATCTGCTTCTGGAGTGAATTAAGAGAAAGTTAGTTTTATTAAGGGGAGGAGGAAAAAAAGAAAGAAAAAAGAAATCAGCTCTACTGCATGCAGCTCCTGCTTGGGGTGCTCGGCTGGCTGGGAGAGAGAGCCCTGCGACAAGGCTCAGAGGGCACTTTGGTGACCTGAAGGAGCAATGTACCAGTCTGTGGCTGCTGTTAAACAGCAATTTGTTAGTGGTTGAAGTCTTTTATCCAGGGGAGAGCTATTTAATTGTTATTTGTACATTTGGGCTTTGAAGACACTGGTATTACATTTCACCAGACTTCAGATCTCACACTTCAGATCCTGATATTACACAGTGTGAGATGCTGTAGGAACAGAAAGACTTTATTAAGCAACAAGTTAGGTATGCAAAGTGCAGCAACAGCTTAAAACAGTTATTTAATCATTATGCAGCTTTTCCATGTGACATTTAGGTGTAAAATCAAGATTTCTATTGGAAACTCCACAAGGCAAACTGGAGCTAGCCTAGTAATCAGTTTATGTTAATCACACTTGCAGTATCCTTTCTATTCCATGGGAATGGAAGCAAAAAAGCTTTTTATATAGACAACGAGTCGCAAAGAGATTTGTACAAAATCTAACTAGAGCATAAAGTATGCCCTATGTCCCAGGTGGTGTTTTATTTATTTATCTATCTATCTATCTATTTATTTATTTATTTTTCCAAGAAGCAGCAGGATGATAGAGTAGTCTGGGCACCAGCAGAATTCAAATTTGGTAATTTTAGCCACCTAAAATCTAGCATCTAATCTAAGCCTGTCAGGAACACTTCTCCTGTCAGTAGAGAAAGCTCCCTCCTACCTTCTGGGCAGCTTAATTTCTACAGTCGCTTTCTCTTTGCAGCTGCAAAGGGGCATATAACAGTTTCTACATTCAAGGAAGAGAGGTGGTGACTGAGAGAAAAGACAGTAACAGCCATGAGCATGGAAGTCATGGAAGCAGCAGGATTAGAAATGAAAATATTGATTGTGGCAGGTGCCCTAACAGGTTACGTTTAATTTCCACAACCTCCCCATGAGCGTAGGAGCCTACAGCAAAATGGGGAGGTTTCAAAGCAGTCACCTGAGTTACTCAATTTCTAAAAGTTCGCTGAAAAGTCTAAAGACAGTTGTGAGGAACCGTTCTGTTAGAGAGTGCTTAACAGTTCTCAAAATGCATTTTTTTTAGTGACTAATATTTGCATAACAAGCAAAAAGTAGTGCAGAGACATTCATGACTTATCTGATAGGCTGTACATTCTAGTCATTTACAAAAGCAAAGGGAATTCTCCTGAAGCCTAGTAAGAGTCCAATACAAAGGCTAATAAAGCCTGGTGGAAAGACTGCACTGATGTCAGTGGCCTTTGAGCCTGTACACGCGTTGGGGAACTCAGCCTCTCCCTGCTTCTGGTTTCAGGGGCACAATGAACATCGAAGTGCACAACATCACTTACACCAGTGCCACGGTCTCCTGGGCCACAAACAACCCTTGTCCGGAGAATTACTACCACGTCATGTACCGCCCCAACTGGAACAGCGTCTTCGCCGGCTACTTACGCCAAAACTTCCACCGTGAGGAGCGAGTTCCCCACTCCCTCAGCTCCCTCGTCCTCCACCGACTCACGCCCTCTACCATCTACGTCCTCTGCATCACGTGCAAGAACTCCTACCCCTCCAGCAACCACTGCACCACGTTCCACACGCTGGACCAACCCCCCCTGCTTTTCGGCGGCTCGAAGCACGAGCCCACCACCTCCATGTGGATGGTGAGCAGCCTGCTGCTGCTCTGCTTCATAGCTCTCCTGGCCTACGGCTGCCTGCAGTTCTGGTCGGCACGGTGCCGCGGGGCGTCCAGGCTGAAGGAGCCTGATGGCAGCTCAGAAGAAGTGGGAGAAGGCAGCAGCTCGCTGGATGGTCCCTCGAGTGATGGACTGAAAGAGGAGCTTCTGGAAGTGCCCATGACCACCGTGCTAATGAGGAGCTCCAGTTTCATGAGGGAGAGCCCATATAGTTCCCCCCGCTGCTTCTTTCCCTATAAGAACAGCGATGACAGGAGGGCCATCTTGCCACAGCACGGCCTTCAGTGAGAGCAAAAGGGAGGCCCTGCTTAGAAGTTTGGTTCGTGCTGTTTTTCCCAAGCTCTTGCCAACACAAGCATCTGTGTTGGGAACTGTTTGTCCCAGGGCAGAACATGAGGTGGAAATATTAGCCACAGGGAGAAAGGCTTTTGTCAAGTGACAAAAATATTCTCATTTACTGAGCGGTTTTTAAAAGGAAACCAAGTCAGCTTTCTGGGAACAGCCAGGCTAGGCTGACTGTAGTGTCATTATCTAATCTGCATCGGTACTGTAGATTCACTTCAAAATCATCAACCAATGTACACAAGAAATAAACTCCACTCCAGTAGTTTCATGCTTGAGTGATTCTCCATTAGCATCACCCCCCAAGCCCTCGTAATGCTTGTATAAACAGTAATCATGGCCTGACAAAAGAGCTTTTTGTCAGTAATAAGTTGTCTACATTTGCACAGAAGTATATTAGTAATTCCCTTTTTGAACTACAAACAGGATTCTTGAAGTAACACCTTCCTCGGGGAGCAGCACTGCTCTGGAGCTCCAACTCACTCTACTCTCTCTGCATTTAGATGGATGTGACTTGGTGTTGGTGCCAATGAGCACAGAGCAGTGTCAGTGCCCCCTAACACAGGCATGTTACAGAGAAAAATATGAGAAAGCAATAGCAAAAAGCACAGTGAAGCTGCTTCTTGCATGGCTTTTTGATTTCACACAGCAATGTGACCCGGTACATTTGCATCCACCACACTGTTAATGAACTAGTTCTTGCATTGCTTTCTTCCTAAATAAAGGACTCCAACATCCACCCCTGCTGGCTGCTGTGGCTCATTTACTGACCTTGGATCCATAGAGGTAATAGGGTTGAACGTTGGCTGGTTTGTCCCGCTGGGGTTCCTGCGTGAAGGGGATTGCTGTCCTCACAAACCTGTGGTGGGCACAGGAGATGGGGAGGAAAGCTGTCAGTGCCTGGTTAACCATAGTCAGTGCAGACACTGCGCGGTCTGGGATGAACTGCAGTACCTGAGCTACACGAATGAGCTCCAGTCTATCACTGATGTAAAATACATTGGTTTAACATATTACAAAGGTGGTTTTGTTGCCTTTTTTTTTTTTTTGAGAAGCTGACACAGTTCTGCTGTGGAGTCACAGCCCTCTAGACCAAACTACCTCAGTTGCTTGCAGTCTCTGTCCAACTTTGGTGCTCGAATTTGTTACTTGAGCTTTCAAGGCCAGCTGGAGCTGTTGGGGTTTAACTTTTTCCATTGATGCTGCATTTCATTTGGAATAAAAACCTCACTGCAATGCATGTGAATTTTATGTGCCAGGTGTGATGTGTTGGAAAGAAACACAGGGTCTTTGGGTGCCCCCTGCCCTGCTTTTCCTCCTCACCTGTTGGTGGATCCATTGTAGCAGTAGTTGGGTAGAAAGTCAAAGTTGAGCTCCCAGAAGACATGGAGGGTGATGCGGCCATAGGGTGCGGAGACGTTGTGGTTGGCCTCCCGGAACATGGCATCAAAGCTGTCCAATGTCATGTGCTTGCACAGCAACCTGTGAGTCAGGCGATTTATTTCCAACAGCCACTCCAGCTCCTGCAGCACATAAAGCAGTGGCAGATGCAAAAGTGTTACCAAGATGACAACAGAAACAGCTGATTTAATTGCCAAGGGGATGACTCTATATCCACACCCCACACACAGCTTCCCAGGTGAGGATGTAGCAAATGCTAAAGGCATCAATTTAACTCAATGGCCAAGGCCAATTGCACTTCTACTCAAGGGGGTCCTGCTCCAGTATCTCCTAAGCTTGCAGGCAGAAAAAATAATTTGTTCCCCACTGAGTGCTGGCTGGCTTTCACAACAGAATCCTTCGGAGGTGGAAACTGGTAATTTTACACTACTTGACTGTGATGCTCCTGTAAAGTATCAAAGGCAGCAAATCCTGTATGCACGTAAGTGATCTCAGTTACCTGCTTCCAACAGAGGGAATTACAGTTAAGATTTCCCACTCCCAGATCACAGGACTCTATTCTACAATGTCTGCAAAATTTAACTGCTGACTGTTACCTTACGATTTACACAGATATGGCCCAATAATAATGCAATTAAGGCTTCATAAGTAGAAACAGTAGAGACTCAGCATCGTAACGGAGAATGCACGTCTGGCTGAAACCTACTGTAGGTGGGACTTCTGGTAGAAGACAGCCGGCTCTGTATTCACAGCAGTGTATTATTCTCAATATTTATTCTTTTAGTCGGGAACAGTTCTTACCACTATGGATGTCAGGTCCTCACTCTCGAAGCGGCTAATGGCCTGGTCTAATGATTTGTACATCGCTGCTGAGATACGCTGGGTTATGAGCCTGTTCAGGTCAATTGACCTACCCAGCAACTGGGAAAAGAAGAGAAAATATTTGTTTGCTATATACAGATGGGGAAAAGCTGTTTTAGTATTTCGATTGTTTTTTAATAGACAGAAGTTAAAGCCAAATATCCAGTGCTGCTTAAATGTGAAAATGGTAATACAAATGCCTCTGTTGGGTTTACTATTACTTAGGAAAGTAAGGATGGAAATGTGAAGCGTAACTTAATTATAATAACATAATTAATTGCCCCCTCCGGCCCCATGTCCTGAGTGTGGTGTGTCAGAAGCAGGTTCAACCATTCACATTAGAGCACTGGTGTTGACTGAGCCCAGCACTAGGATGCCAGCTGCCAACAAAAGGATAAGAGACCAAGAGCTGAGAATACCACAGTCTGCTGCCTGCAGTGTACCTGGACGTGCCTCTGCTTGAGCAGTGTCTCGTAGCGGTTGGATGGTGGGTATGGAATGATCACCCCGTAATTCTTACACTCAGCCCGGAAACGTTTGTCCAATAAAACACTGAAAAAGGAAAACAATGTCAGGAAAAAGGAAACATGCACAATCAGCTACTCTGTGGATCTTTTCCAGAGTTGTTTTCATTCTTCCTTTCAACTTGCTCTGAATGCCAAGAAAATTTCCACACACTACTAAATCACAGAGCAGAAGTTGTTATCTAGGGACTGCCATGCCACTATCATTCTTGGCTCTTACGGCTAAATCATCCAAAAAGATAAAAGATTGTGCTGGAAGATATCACTAGTGCCAGGAAGTGGGGTGATCCCACAGGTATGCTCCCTCCTTGACGGTCTGCTGTAGGAACAGTTTGCTGGTGGTGCTGATTGCTCTCCTTCTCTAAGGCCTGATGTGATTAGAGACAAAACTCTTGGCAGAGTTAGACTGAAGACTTGGTTCACCTTTGGGGACATGAGAGGAAGACTCTCATTAGAGTTCATCCACATTCTTCCAGTGGTTAGGAGGAAAAGTCAGTCACCAAGGGCCTGTCTCTCCAGCTGGAGGCAGGCAGCTGTCTGAAGTGTGATCTAAGACAGTGAGAATCCTTCTAGTCGTTACAAGTCCTGCTGCTCTGCTAGGGTGAGGACAAGCGCATATCCCTGTTTCTTAGAGATGGGAGGTTTCCACTTATCTGTCTGGTACAAGTGTCAAGCAAGGACATGTCTTCAATAGGCTTGGTTTACTGTGCTGCTGCTCTCACAAATTGTACTCAAATAGATACATAGGATATGAATTATTTTTATTTCACTTTTAACCATGTCTGCCTTGGCACCATTAATTCATTTTTCCCATCAACACTGGTGTGACACGAATAGCACGCTCTGTGAGGAAAGGATGATCTGTTTTGTTATGTCTACCCACAGCGGCTACTCCCTGAGGGGAACCTTTTGGTTAACAGCGACTTGGATGCAGCACTATCATCACTCAGCAGAAGCAGTCAGGTTCTCCTACCTGCCAGCCATTGCTTTATAATAGGCAAAGATCTGATCTGCCAGCTTGTACACAAATTGATCAAAGCACAAATTCACCTGGGGGAGAAAAAACAAGACATCATGAGGGTGTCACTGACACAGAATAGCTCCTTCCTACTCATGCAAGATCGATACAACGCAATACAGAGCTCTAATTTAATACACACATGTATGTCAGGTTATCTAAAAACCACACTGCAGATCTCACATGCTGAACATAAGCAGAAATCTGCAGTTATGTTTCTGGCCTATAGAGTCTAAATGTTCCTGGAGGGCCCAGTCCCCCATCCGCAGTCATCCTTCTCTTGCAGGGATCTCTGGGTTCTCATTTTCCTCTGATGCCTCATAACCTTCTGCCCATCAGACAGACTCTTCCAGGCTCCCAGTGTTTAATAGCATTTGGCTTCCACTGGTCCCCGTGGGCACTGCTGAGCTGAAGCCTTTAATCAGCAGAGCATGTCAGCTCTCAGAATATTCTGATCTTCTGAAAATTTCTCATTCTCATGGGGTATATTTTTCAGGAGATGCCTACAACTAATGCACTGCACTACTGGGCTGGGCTGTCAAACAGGGCAATGTGACCCCAGTGAGCTCCTTCCATACAATGAAGATGAAAAAGACTTACTTCAGCTTCAATTTCATCATACAGGAACTGCTTTTTGAACTTGGTCAAGGCATAGTATGCGCTGTCATTGTAGAGGTCCAAGGGGTATAGTACGTACCTGAAGGCAAGAAAGCAGATCATGCCTTGGAGCATATCAGCAAAAACAGCAGCGACTCAGTGCAAGAAGTGGCTTTTTTCTGACCTCACTCCTTTCACCTCCTCTCACTTCAGTCCCTCAAATCCCCCCACCTCACTCCCTCTGTCTGAGTTGCTGGAAGCAGCAAGAACAGACCTGGACGTGTCCTAATTGTGAGTTGTTCTATCAACGCTTGCTCCTTCTCTGCCATTAAAAAATGTTGTTCTGCCCGGACTCCACAGAGTGCCCTCACAGTGGTTATGAAATGGTAAACAAAGCTTTCCAAATGTGGAATATTATTATGAACATAACTGTACTTGCATAACAGCAATTCCTCTGATCACTTATCGCTTGTATAAAGAAAAAAAAGTGCTTAAGTGCTTCAGCCAGGGCCCACATCCCTTTGGTTGCACATGCTGGCTGGCTGCTGTGTGCAGATGACTATCACCAAGCTGTGTGCTGATCCTAATACAGCAGTTGCCAATTGTTGGTTTATGATGCATAAGCAAGTGCCAGTGTCAGGAAGCAGGCAGTGTGCATTTGCTAATGAGTTATTCACACAGTGCACACTCATGTGACAGCAAGGCAAGAAATACAGTTTGTTTTTTTCCTTCCTTGTCAAAGAGACTGCTCACCACCAGCCTACCCTTCTCCAAAAGAAAACTGCAAGCCTGAGTGAAGGCACAGACCCACCACAGCCCATCAGCTCTTACTCCATCATGGAGGGTTCTTTGGTTTCCAGAATATGGTCCGTGAGGATCCAAGGCATGGACATTTCGATGGGGAACTGGATGCGGCGGCCCATGGTCAGCTCCAGGAAGAACTCCCGGAACCAGAGCTGGGACAGGTCGCAGCACTGCTGCAGCGCTTCTGAAACACAGAGGAGATCCCCCCAGTGGGAGGGCACCAAAGTTACTCTCTAGGGGTGGCAGAGAGAGAGGGAAGAGCACAAGAAGCAGTTCCAGTGGTGTCATACTGGACCGTTTTGGGGCATGAAACTGCTTTCTGGGATGTCTCCTCTTTTAAACAAAGACTCTGTTCATGCTATCTGAGCACTTTGTAATAGAAGAGGAAGAAGAGATTGTTCCTTTTGCTCTAGAGCTCCAGGAAGAAAATTTCAACAGCTCAAAATCACTTGGGAAGATTTCTTCTGTGCCTAGTGGCTCAGAAGCTTGGCTAAGATGGAAAGAAAACCCCACTCCTAGAAACTAAACTACAGTTTATGTCTCTTTCGCTATTGCTGACTCATTCCTGTTCACATAATGATTAATACCTACAAGCAAGCGTGTATCAGGCAGAAGTAGAACATCTGGGAAAAATCAAAGAAAATCTTCTGCATAGGTGAATACAGAGCAAAGATACTTTGCTAGTGTGCAAAAGTTGGATTCAAGCCTCCCCGTGCCATAGCCTCACCACTGATGTTGAGAAGGTGGGTGAAGAAGAAGGACTGCTTGTGGAACTCCTCAATGGCCAAGACTATCGGCCCATCCAAGCTGCTCCTCAGAGTCTTCTTTGAGCCACTCTTGTCTGCTATGAGGGACTCCAGCATGGTCCGCACCATGTAGAGCTTTGGAGGGAAGTTAACATGTAGTTACTATCCTGTGAGATACCACCACACACTGCCATGGTGCTCTGCAGCAAAAAATAACACTTCTCCTGACTGGTTTCTACTCTACTCTCTCAGCCCTGTAGGCCACCATCATTCTGAACTAGAAATAATCATAAACCTAAAAAAAGGAGGCTTTAGGAACAAACTAGGCATCAAAGCAACATTTAACACATAGCATGTGAGTTATCGATGTTGTAAGTTATGACGTTACTGAGTTATAATGTTATGTTACTAAAAATCCCACTGGAAACAGCTGCCAACCCATGGGATGGGAGACTCCTACATGGCATGTAAGGCCATTACTTTCTTACTCAGGAGACTAGAAATTTACATACCTGTGTACTTGATGGTCCTACTGCTCTTCGTGGGACTTTAATATCAAATCCACCTTTAGGATCCTTCTCACCTCTCAGGCAAGGATCGTTTGGTGGCTCACGACCTCCCTCCCAGTCACAGATTGTCTTCCGAATTGCTTGAAGAACACTGAAATAGGTAGGGGGAGGGAAATTAGTGCTTAAACTTGATTTTACTGCAAGGTGAAAATACTGACTGCTGTGCATATACAAGGTGGGAAGTATATGAGGTGGGGAGACACAAAGTTGTTTTGGGGGGAGTCATGTCCAAAACTGACCATGAAAAGAGTTGCTGGCCAAGGTATGTTGGCTGGTAGTGTAACATTAAGCTGTCTGCAGGGGCACATGCTTATATAGTACAAATGTATTACACAAATAAATACACCGGCTTTGTGTTACATTCAAGAAAGACCAACCTGATCAGGACGTTCTTCTTCTTCCTGACTGCCTGCCTGAGCGGCTCTCGCAGAGTCACCTGGGCAAAGTCCTGCAGGGCTGCATAAATGGTGTTACGGATGGCTTGGTTAAAGACACTCTCCATCCGGCCCATCAACACTTGCAGACCTTTGATCATGGCAATTACCTGAAGCAAAAATTAAAAACAGATGTACTTCCCAGTTTTCCTTTGTATGGACAGGTCCATAAATCCACCATTATGATAACTTGGTACTAAATTAATTCTGTTCAAGTAACTTAGGTACAGCAAATAGGTGGCTTTATTTGTTTTGTTTTGTTTTCTGCTTTAAGGATCACCATGAACTGGTGGAACATTTCCAGTACCACTGTCTCTGAAATGGCCCCTATCCCTTGGCAGACCCTGTTTCCACTCCTGATCTCTTGATATCTTTAATAACACCCAGTCCTGGGAGACTGCACATGCCCCATGTGTGTGCAGCTGTGTGACTTGGACAGATCTGATGAGAACAGAATATGGATGAGAAAACAATCCTTGCTGGCTCTTACTCACTCTTAATTATATTTTAAGCAAAGTCAAAACTTTACGTAAAAGGTACAATTCAATGTGATGCCACTCTGCTCACTGCCCCCTCCTCAATGCTGCTCAATGCTCATCCATAGCAGCAGTTGTTGACTGATAAGCAAAATACCTGGGTGAAGGAAGGACTGCTATTTCCATTTTAGAAGCTGGGAAGAATTTAATCAGTGATCTTCAAAAGCAGACTTCCACACTGCTGGTGGACACCTGCGAGGTGCAGCTAAGAGATGACCTTTGAAAACTGCAGTCCAAATACTCTGAAACACTTTAAAAAATCTGGCACATTTGTGACTTTTCCAAGTGACCTAGATAATTTGGGGCAAAGTGCACAAAACATGATCTCTAGGCCACTCTATCTGCTATGGCACTACAAAACAAGGCAGCAGTTGGCACTTACCTCCACAAAGGCAAACTTCTCTTCACTGGTGTAGTTGTACCGGGTGGCTCTTTCATACTCTTCTGCTGTTCCTGGGCAATCCTTGTTGCAAAACTTATCTGTGGGATGAACCAGCTTCCAAGAGTACTGGAAGATGGAAACATGCACTGTTAACATTGCAATGAGTAAGACAAAGGGCTGGAGGGATTAAAGAGGGCTCTGTCAGAAAAACACTCCCTAAACTTTACTACAGTTGTTTGAGACTCCTTTGAGAACTTAATTTATGCTTCTTTGTGGCTGTGTTATCACTGTACTGAATATTGGTTTTGTTTATTTGGGAGGTGCCAGTCATATCAGGCTTCTGACATTCATGGACTTGTGTTAAGATGTGGTCAAAACTTTCCAAATTAAGAATTTCCATCATTATTTGAATTACAAATTTACGTGTTAAAGACCCAGACTTATCACCCTTCTATTGGTACTTAACAGAGGTGTTCAGGTGAGAAGTCACCAGCCTCCTCTAGTGCTACTGGGGGTGCCCTGCACCTGCAAAGGGCACTTCAGCTCTAAGGAGAGATGAGCGAGCTCTGCTTCTCCATTTCGTTCAGAGAGGCTTTGGGGTGATTAGTTGTCTGATTTTAGCATGTTTGTCAAAGGCTTAAAGTTAGGTGGCATGCAAGCAATCTCACCTTTCCACAATCAGCACTGTGTGCTGTGTTGAAATGTTCACCTTATTCCAGAAAAAGGAGGAAATTACACACTTTGATGCACTCACCACTTCCATGACATGAGCACTCCACTTGGACAGCAGCTGCAGTCCCCTTAAAGCGAGATCGAAGAGCTCCCTGTACTCTTCATCTGACTTCTGGCTGTCCAGCCCTGAGCCGGTGACGACCTGGAGAAGATCACATCACATCAGGGCTAGAGTCAGCAGCTCGCTGCGGTGCCTTGGCTCAGCCAAACAGCAGCAGCAGATCTCTCTCTCTCAAATCCCATCTGAAAAGAATTCCCCATGACCTTATGATCAAGCTAAAACAGCGCTGTGCATATACAGTCCTGTGGGAAAAGAGGTATAACTTGGCAGGACTCTTATTACCCAGGTGGTCCATTTATTTCCTACAGAAAAATGAGTCTGACCTGTAACCTCAGAGCAAATAACTGACCCTCTCATTCCATTTTCCCATTTCTTTGTGATGGTCTAATACCACTGAACTCCTCTAGAGGCCTTTACTGATTTAAAGTTCAAAAAAGCACATAAAAATGCCAAAACAGAAAGGCTAAGAACACTAACAAATCATTAAATTAAAAGTGATGAATGAGGAACCCACATTTGCAAGAAAACAGTCTCAATCCCATCAGAAAGGGCTCTGACATTCAGTGATCAACAGAGCTGCTGGGGAGAACTTTCCTCAAAGCCCTGACTGACAGCTCAGCGTAACAGGAAAGACCCATCTGCAAGACACGGGTGTTCTGCCACCCACGGTCGATGATAAACAATTAGCTGCAAAAATATTTCTCCTTCTTATTTGAACTGAGCTGCGGCCAAGGAGCAGGAGCTTGCAGAGCAGGCTTCCAGTGCACGCGATTTTGAACGGGCAGGGACCTTTCATAACTTGCTTTTTTATTGCTGGATCGAACAGTGGATTGATATAGTTTCATGTGTATTCTTCTCCCCCCTCATCAGTATGTCCTTGGCACAGTATGTCCACACTACTGCCACACTTGTCCCCTCCCAGCCTCGCCTGTCTGAGGATCACAGCGCCCACCCTGAGCTTACCTCGCTGTTGCTGTAGCGAGCGAGCTCCGAGATGAAGCGGATGTGGTCGTCCCGGATCTGCACCATCTGCTCGCAGATGTTGTACTGGGGACTTATGCTGCTCTGAGTGCACGTCCACCTGGGCAAAAAAGCAACGGCTTCAAGAACGGGACACGGGGCTCCTCTCAGACACCCCCAGGGACAAAGCCTTTCGCTCAACTGCTCTCTTCACCTCAACGTGCCCATGGCATGCCACCTACAAGGCAGCCTGTGTCCTCTCTCTCATCCCCAGGGTGTGTGATGTCTTCCAGAGGTGGTCTCAACAGCACGACAAGGATGTTTGCCTCACCTTTCTGTTAGAACACCTCTGCTCCATCCCCCCTAAAGGCTGCTCTCTCTGTTGGGTTCACCTACCCCCACGGGCAGAGGTGGTTATTTCGCTGTTTGCTGTCTGGCAAGCTTTCAGGGAAGGACAAACTGCAGAGCCTCATCACCGTTTGCATCCCTTCTGCTAAACTTACGGATAATCATCTCCTTAGAGGTCATCCTTCTGGGTCCTACAGGGCTGGTCATTGTGCCCTTCTGCTGCAGGAAAGACCCTGGCAAGGGGCCATCATGGAAACAGCCCTTCTGCTCTTTTTGGTTCTGCTCACATTACTAACTTAGTGGGCAACCCTGGGAGTAAACTGAGGAGGAGATGATTAAAAGCACTAGATTTTCATTTGCACTGAGCCACTCTGTAACAGTGCAAAAGGGTCTTAAAGGGAAGGCAGCTCTCCCCTTCCAGTGGCACAGTTAACATGAAGCAGTGGTCAGAATAAGCACGAACCAGGTTTTTCTAATTTAACATCACACTTTTCCCAGACCTTTATTAGCCACTGACATAGAACCAGAACAGCTCCATCAAAATGCTTTGTGCAAACAGATGTCTGTCAGTGAGACTCTCACATCTGTCTCCATCATCACAATGGTTTTTAGATGTTCAGATACTGCTTTTTTTTCCCCTAAATGACTGACTGTCCTAAGATAGATAGTCTTCTTCTCCAATCTAGACTGGCTGTACAAAAGGGAGGTGAGAAACCTGCTTCTGACATGGACATACACATGAAAATGCATTCCCACTGTTAGCTGTGAGGCTCCTGTTGCCAATGCTTGTGGAGATGGAAAGTCCTGGAAGTGCTGGACCATGTCATCCCTTGTGAAATCCAGCCTCCCACCATCGAGTCCCATCGCTCGACTCTTACCCGTTTCAATGTCCCGTGCTCCCCACCAGACAAGCAGCAGGCTGGCAGGAGTGGCCAGGGCTGCCCCAGCCCTCCCTGCCACATACAATCTAGTCCACAGTGCAGAAACAAAACGCCATGCAGGAAAAACACCAATTAATTCCATTTTCATGGAGACAAGGAGGGAAAGAAAGTGACAAAAACAGTGTTAGTAAGAAATGGGGAATATATGGAACCACCTTGGCAGAGTTAGTGTCGGAAGCCCCATGCAATTTGCTGGGAAAGCAAGTGAGTGAGGAAGAAACATCAGTTAGTAAGGTGCAGCACAAAGACCTGGGAGACAGATTTTGAGACAGACATTAAATTGTGCACAGGTAAACAGCCTGCGAGCTACCTTGGTTTTGAGATGAGAAAATGAATGCAGCTGAAATGTTTCGTTGAAATGTGCTTTCTGAACAGTTTGGGATAAAAAGGTGTCAATTCTTAGATAATCTTCCCTTCCATTTTTTTTTTTTTTCAAAATATTTTTAAAATTTACATTTTGTAGAATTTTTTTTTTTATTTTCAATTGTAATCGAAAACCTTTTGCTTGGGAAATTCTGTGAAGCTGTTTTCAGATTTCTTGTGAAAAAAAAAATCAATTGGCACTTTTCAACCAGCCTTCAGGAGGGCAGGGGAGGGCGCTCCCGGGCGAGCCACTCAGCGGCAGAAAGCAGGACCCGCCGTGGGGAAGGGAAAAGCAAACAGGCGCAGCGATGAGGCTGTTGGTTAGTTCCTGTCCTGGTGGCTGTTCAGCTAGACTGCTTCTCGCAGGTGATGGAGAGATCTGACTTCCACACAGCCTGGTCCCACAGGCGAATGGTCGCTCGCTGGTGAAAGCCAGGCTGCAATCAGTGATTACAGCCAATGGAGCTTGGATGGGCTTTGCTTATGTGCGGATGCAAACACTGTTCTGAGGATGTCCAAACCTACCAGTGATGCTTCTAATGCTAACTGAGCACCATGCAGAGCTACAGAGACAACTGGACCTTCGCACATGAGTGGTATGATCTGAAATGACACCTGTAGACTCTCTTGATGGGAGCAACAAACGAGCTTCAAACCCATACTGTGAAGCTGCGCTACGTACCCCATGCCACGATGACTGAGTACGCCTGGAAAGACTCCACTTCTGTCTTTTTCCCACAATATTTATTCCTTTCCAGTGCATCTGACCCACCCTGTTCAATTCTCATCCCTGCTCCCTTTCTACACAGGAAAGTGCCTGAGCTAGAAGAGACGCCCTGCCTACCGCATAGATCTGGTGCTGTGTTCATGCTCTGGAGGATTTTGTCCTCGGGGTGAAAACTGTGGATTAAAATCTCTCCAGAGCAGGAACACGCTGCTCACACTCACACGTCCCAAGCACTCAGCGGCCGCCCCAGACCGCGCACCATGCCCGCTCGCCTGCCTGCACGCATGGGAACGGTTCCACGGAGCCGGCGAGGACGTCCTCCCATGCAGGGACACACAGGTACACACGTGCACACACAGGTGGCCGCAGAGGCAGGCACGCTGGGGTGTGCACCCCCCTGGGGACACACACAGGTACCCGTGCACAGACCTCACGCACGCCGGGGAGGGAGAGTGGCAGCTCCCACGGCTTTCGGGACACACACAAAGCCAAGAGACATTATGGCAGGCACTCACTTGGATTTGTTCTCCTCATAGTGAGCACTGGTCTTAATGTATCTGGCCAGTTCTATCTGCATATCGCCGAATAAAGGAACCACCTGCAGCTGCTGGAAAAGAAAACAAAAGATGGTTGAAACGCGGCGGAGAGTCCCTAGGGCGACACAAGGGACTACGAAGTGGCATCCTGCATCTCTGAAGCTACAGGAGGTGTCAGGCTGTTCAAAGCAAGGTGCAAACCTGGATGCAGGGCCTTTTCACACCTAGGAAGCAACTGAAAACTATCACAAGGTGTTGGTTTTTTTTTGTTTTTTTGTTTTTTGTGCAAGTGAGATCACTCCCTGCAAGTGCTCTAGATACAAGGATTTGCTGATACTGGCTTGGTTAGTACCAGAAAGGTTCAGTATTGTAACCACCATCAGCAGTGAGAGAAAAAGGTCTTTTTATACCAAAAAGAGAGAATTGTATTCTTAAACAGCACTTACTGCCTCCCGCCATAATCCTCAACAGAACTGAGGGATAAAAACTGCATGCTGGGGAGGGGAGCTGCTGGCTGCTCTGCTGCCTGGACTGCCGGAGATGTGGCATCTTTCTCCTGGGACTCAGGTTTTACTTTGGCACTGTGGCTGTTAGTGATGTGTCTTACAATTTCCCCATGAAAACAAAAACACAGTCAGTGTCTGTCTGCTATATAACACGGCTTTGTTCTCCCTTTACATCTCAGGAGAATTTTGAAGGGAAACAAATTCTAAGTGCAGTGAATGTGCCTCAAGCTCAGACAGGTCCCTGCTGGACTAAGCTTTCAGTTGCATACTACATTCAGCCAAGAGCTACCTACAATTCTTCAAAAACAAAAAGAGAAGCTTCAATGTCACCCAGATACAAAAGCCTAGCCCCAAAATACAGGGAAGATGGTGGCAAATTCACTGTCCTAATATCACACTTCTCAGGCTGGTTTGTGTGGAGGATGTGCAATGCTGTCACCAGAGATTCCCAGTGGCACTTTCATAAATGGTTTAAATGAAGGGGTAGTTCATTTTCAGCACTCAAATTCCTGGTCAATCCACTAGAAATTTAATCAGAAGGCAGTAAGCAGATGTAGTAAAAGGAGTAGTTGGCCTTTTCTTATTGAGATCTGATAGTCTGGAGTGGTACTTAACTGATTAGGTGAAACCACAGCAGATGTTGGAGAAGTGCAAGTGGAAAAAAAAGCTGGAAAGGAGAAAGTTATTCCATGCAGTGGAAGATATTTTACCAGTCCGATTCTCTGATGGTCCACGCCACTTTGCAATGAACAACAGATCTGTCTGAACACACCAAGATGACCAAACTCTACACACAATGCTGAAGGCTGGATTTAAACTGAGCCAAAGATTCAGTAAAACTAGCAAAGCTGAACCAGGGAAAACTCAGAAGACTTTGAGCAATGGCTTGATAAATCTCCTTTGCAGAGCTGCAGTCCTCAGCAATCTCCCCAGTGACTGGGAAGCATTCTGCCATCTCATTATCTGCCCATCTGTGAGGTTACGGTGTCAGACTGTAGCTCCCTACACAGGTGTCAGAGCCCTGCTCCCAGAGCTGTCTCCAGGAGATGATGCAAAGATGGGTAAACAAGTCCCCACTCACTCGGGCTGAGGATGCAGCAGAAGGTACATCAGCCTTTCCTGAAATCAGCCACCCAGGCTCACCAACACGTTTGTCCCTTGCCATATCCCACCATGAACTAATCTTCTCCAAACCCAAAAAGCCTCCTAGACCCAGCCTTGTGTACAGAAGCAATAGACAAGAAGAATGACTTCACCCTGCAATGCCGCAGGAGGTGCTTGCACTGTGCTGAGCTCACGCAAGCCGTGCAATCAAGCAGAGACATCGGAGTCTCATCCCTCCCCTCCATATGCCACTAACAGCTTGCACACACACCGCATTTGGGGAGGAAGCAGACAGGGTTATCCCAAATCCTCCCTACAGCCTGACCTCCAGCTGTGGACCAGCCCAGGGCTGATGCCAGCTGCACATGGAAATGGGGCAGAAGGAGGCTGCACAGCAGCTTCCCACAGTGTCACTGGGAGCACCCAGCTCCTGCAGACCTTTCCTCAAAAAAATGATCTCAAAAGAAAAAAGGATGCACCAAAACCACCAGACGAGCCCCCTGAGGAACTCAGTGAGCACCTGCAAATTGCAGCCAACACAATCTCCTCAAGCAGCTTTTTCTGCCCTACAAGGAGCACAGCTTATACACCAAGTAAGACTGCCAATGACATGTTGGCTGGCCAGTTCTGTCCCCTGTCCCTCAGCACATCAGCTCAGCAGTGAACTGAGGGAAAGGAGCACGCAACCATCACCCACGCAGACCTCAGCAAACCTATCCAGGTTTGCTGGTGGCCTGAAATCACGGTACTTTTCAAAAGACTGCAAGCCAGCCTCAAAAATGTGCCCAGAGCTAGAAGTGTGCGTCAGTCTGGCACACCCTTCCCTCATCCACAAACACGGGCTTCCCACGCGCCATCCCCGTCCTTCACCCCTCAGCAGGAGGGCTGTCATCGCTCATCTCTCCCACGCTACACCCACCTATGCATGTTCACAGCAATCCCGTTTCTCATCCTTCAGTCTAGGTAACTTCTTGACCCTTTGGGTGGTTTTTTTTTGGAACTGTAAGTGATTCCTGTGGTTTGTTTTTTTGTTGGCAGCGTGTGCAAAGATACCAGTCCATAATTCATTGGTCTGTAGTTAATTCCAGCCTCACCCAGACAGGTCACTGACCTTGAAGAATTTGTCTATTTTGCTAAGGTTGATTCTCTTCTTGGCGTCCAGTTTGTAAATGTTGCTGACGTTCCCATCCATGAGATACAGGCCAAAACCCATCACCTGGAGAAGACAGAAAGGCGAGGTTTCAATAACATGAAGTCAGAAGTATAAGTCAGACAGTTCTCATTTGCTTAGCATGAGGAAGACCATTTCAGAATGCTGTGGCAACTGACACTCATGAGAAAACTGTATAAAACATGCACATATATGCAAGGACATGTGTGGCAGACAGGGGACACATGATGGAAAGCTTCTGTAAAAATGTATAACTCTCAGTTGTTCCTCCTCTCTCACACATAACAACCAAAAAGTCTTCTTCACCCGTACTAAAAAGGCAAACATTTGCTCCCAGAGAACTGAAAACTTTTTAAATATTCTCCTGGGTTGTTTTTTTCCCTTTATTTCAGTACAGATCATTATAGATATTAAACATACCAACATTGTCCTTCAAAGAACCTCAGTTGACTCATCCGTGGTAATGAAGTTTTTAGGGTAATAGTGACTGTAATCACTGTAATAACTGACTTACAGTAAGGACAAACATAAAAAATAAGCAGATACTTTGGCATGCTCATCTCTGGGGCTCTTCAGAGTCAGGAAACCAAACCTGCATGGTGATCTGTCTTCTGATTATTATTGGAGATGGGTATCAAGAAGAAAATTCAGGGTTGCAAAGTTGGTGGTGATTTTAGCATATCCTATAAGGTTACCGAGGTCAAAACTGTGTTCCTGCACACCATGTACAACAGAAAATGCGCTTCCAGCTCTGGAGAGTGCAGAGCACCCCGGGTGCTCTCATCCACCAGCTGGCACCACCTTAGTGCCAAGCAGGCAGAGCTGCTGGCAACCTTGGGAAGAACTGGGGGAAAAGACAGAGATGGAGATGGGGAAGAGCAGACGAAAGGGAGAGAGGAAAGAAAATTTTTATATGAGAACATGCACGAAGGTCAGAAAGCCAGAAAATAAATGACAGGAGAAGTTCAAAGTTACAGCGGGAACAGAGGCAGCCATGGCACTGCCCAGCAGAGGTGCCACTTCAGAGCACTGAGGTGGGACATCTCTGACCCTCATCCATGCTCAGTCTACAAAGCTACAAAGAAGGGGTAAATGGGATAAAATGGAGGAATGGAGGTATCCCAGCAGAAGACAAAAGGTAACTGAGATCGGAAAGAAAACAGGCAGAGGTGGAAAGGAGCTTTGGTGCTTCATGCAGAAAACTTTCCCACTTCATAGCAAGCCTTGTGTCCAGAAGATACTGACTCTGCAGAGAAGAGATGCACGTAAACCCAAAGGAGTTAAAAATAAGGAAAATGAAGAGAAGCATTGTCCTGGAAGGGAATTTCATTTTACTAAAACAGAAGTGGAACAGCCCAAACACTCAGACCCATAAATATGACCAAATCTCACCTTTAAAAGCATGTGTTTTTCACTGGGCGTGAGATACATCTTGTTTTCATAGTAATCCACACAGATGTTGACAATATCAGCAAGCAATTCCTCGTAGCCAGGGATAACCTCTAGTTGTTGGTGCAGACACTGAAACAGCAATAGGGGTCACATTATCCACATGGCCAAAGGAACAGCAGGAATAAGTGGAAAAAGATTAAGAGCATAATGATAAGAGGTTTTCTAAAAAAAAAAAAAAAAAAAAAAAAAAAAGTCTGTTTTTTCCTTAAGTCACAGATAGAAGATCAACCTCACGGTACTACCAGTATAGAACAAGCTTCCTTCTGTAGGACAGCTCTCCCGTTCACACTGATCACAGCAGCCAAGCATCACAGTGAGATGAAAAGAAAGGGTCTGCCTCAGAAGCAGACTTTCTGATTGTCTGCTGTCTCTGTGCAATATTTTATCTAATTAGCAGAAGCTATAGAGCCTGGAGTGTGGAGGCCCCTGGTGTCTGATCTGCAGTCCCCATGCAGTTGCAGACAGACTAGAGAGATTTTCTGGGGAAAACAGGGATAGAGTTTCTGTGAGAAAGCCCCCTGAGAGCTCTTCTTGCACCTTTTAGACCTTTATCCTTGTCTTGACATAAACAGACCACCAAAGCTACCCAGGATGATCCACTGGAAAGAAATACTGCTGGAATTATACTGCCTGACCCAAAGAACAACAGTCAGTGGAAATGACCCAACAAACGAGGCAGATATTGCTGCAGTCCAGTCTGAAACACCCTCAGCCTTGGCAAGACCATTGCCTCTGCCTACACGTGGGAAGGTGAACTGGTTTGGAGGAATGGGACCTGCCTGCGTGATGCGGTTGTGGTTTGCCAGGAACATGGAGAGGTTCTGGGACTCCTGGATAGACTGGGGGTCTGCCATCTTCCGCAGAAACTGGGCAGCTCTGGAAGGAAGAAATACGGCATCACCAAGGCCCCCGCTCACAGAGTGCATGCCCTCACCACCCACCTTCCTCACCTCACCTCACCTGCAGCTGCAGGGCTGCAGCCTCAGAGCCCCCCTGCAATATAGCTTAGCTCTTTCTTCATTTTACCAATTGCGAAACAAAACACAGAGCTCTGATGTTTGCTAAACTCACACGGAGAGCCTACAACAGCACAGAAACCCAGCCTCCAGCCCCCTTACATCTGCCCAATCTCTCAGCTGGGCAATGCCTCCTGACAGACCAGGACCAGCCCCGTCCCCGCGCTGGCTGCTTCTCGCCCCTCACCTTTTGTAGGCGGAGTGGTCATTTTTGACACTGCACTTCATGTTCTTCAGCTCGTCCAGGACAGCAAACATGTTGATGAACTTGCCCAGCGTGAGGAGGTAGGCCTCAGAGACAAAGTCCTTCCTCCGCTCGGCGTGGCACAGGCGCTTCACCTCGCTGCAGAACCGCTCGATGGCCTTGCGCTGGAAGGCAGCAGGACACGGTCACCACAGCAGGGGCTCGCACACACACAGCACCACCTCCACCCACCTCTCCTTCCTTGTCCTGACAGGGACAGAGGCTCCAGGGTCTCCCTCCATTGTCACCGTGCAATGAAGCAGCATTTCAAACCACTACAGACAAATGTCCTCAGTGCTGGAGGGGAGGAGCAGGGCTTTGAATCCTCTGTGCCTGCCCTGACTGCAGCGTGTTCTGCCAAATCATGCTTTGGTCCTTTAGGTGGAGTGTTACAACTTATAGGACATAAAACCCAAATATGCCAGTAGAAACCCAGTTGCAGCCAGTTAGAAATGCAGGTGGTGATGTAGAGAGTTCCCTTAAGCCCAGAGCAGCTCTGCTGGCTATGTGGTCACTGCTCTGCTGGGATCTAAGCTTGTTATCTTCTCAGGTGCCTCAAATTCAGCAACCGCTAAATGCAAGCTTCAGTGCTCTCACACTGGACAGGTACCGTGGCCAGGATTAACACATCAGCTGTACCATCAGCCTTCCTACTCCTTACAGCTTTGCTTCAGAGAGAAGAGCTGAAGAGTGAGCTGTGCTGGCACCAGGCTGTCAGCACAGAAACAGCCCTTGCCTCCACCAGCCAGCACCCCAGAAAAACAGGAGCCTGTGGCATCAACTAGCTCCTACAGTTGTGGTCCTCCATGAACTTCAAGGGCATAGGTGTGTTCGCTCCCAGCTTGGGGCTGAGCAAGGGATAAACGGCACAGATTTGGCTCTGGACAGGTAACTGCAAGTAATAAACGCACCACAAGATCAGGGCTCTCCAGGCTGGCGTGGCGGGCACAGCACAGCACAGCCCTGCTGAGGAACCTCACACCAAAGTAAGAAATTATTTTTACTACTCCCCTTGACCGCTTACCTGAAAATACATGAACTTCATAAGCTTGGTGACTTCTGGCTCCAGGACTTCTACTGTCTTCTCATAAATCTCCACTCGGTTTGGCTGCTCATTACATTTCACCTGCAGTGCAAAGACAAACCATCTCCATCAGCATTGTTTCTAACATAGCTGTGGACTTGCACCAGCCACCAACTTCTGCTTGTTTCACAGTGAATCCTGTCCTCATTTGAGGACAACAGAGGGACTCCAGAGGGAGCTTGTTTTCAAGGCAACGGGTGATGGCAGAAAGGGCTTTTTCTCAGATGTGAAATCCTCTCCATTTGTTATAAATGGACACAATCTGGACTCTGAGAAATGAAATATTCTAATGTCTGGAGTAGAATACACAAAAAATGAAGTCTGCACTTGCTATACAATGTGGGAATGTTGTACCATAGATTTATTTTAGATTTTGTGTCTGGGGGAGTTTGCAACACAAGGCACCATGCTATGGCTCTGCTCTAGTCCTGCTGGGATCACTTTGGTTCTGTTGCAGACCCATTAAAAATCCCTGGGCTTGGACATGACTAGTAGCAATGAAGTGAGTCATCTTTATCCTAAGCGAGTCCTAGGAAGCTAAATTTAGGTAACTCTGTCTTGCCATCAGCTCAGCCATAGCCTGCCTTCTGCTAGCGTGGCCAGCACAGGCAACAGCAGCACAGCATCAGATGTAAATGGGAGATAAGCAAAAATCTAATCAGCATCAGCAATCTCCCCATGGCTGGATCTCGTCAGACCATCAGCAGAGTGTAACCCAGGGGAACTGAGGTTTGACCTTTCCCAGGGAACCGTTAACATGGGCATTGTCAGCCATGTGGAAATATTTTTTCCTGGCTCCACGGAAGTGCTGCAAGCCCTTTTATCAGTAGAGTTAATGGATGTGCACTACATCTGCCAGCTGCCTTGTCAGCCTGCGCTTTCACAGTGCTCCAGCACTGCTCGTGTTGCAGATGACAAGCTTTGCGCTGGAGTCTGAATCACGGCTCAGTGGGCCTCATGGGCAACCTTACTCATGTCTGTAGGTGTTTGCAGGATTCTGGTTGGAGAGAGGACTGAAAAACATTTGAAAGAGAACCAGCAGTAGAGCAGAATGGTTAAACCCAGGACCATCAGGTACAGAAGCAGCAAAAAAGGGCGTTTGGAGGAGACCTGGCTGGGAGGCTGATCTTCACTCCCAAAATGTTTCTGACATAGTGAAGAGCTCCTTCATACATCCTGGCTCAACACTGACCCTTCCAGGGCTTCCATGACAGCAGAGACAGCGCCCCAGCACCAGTTTGGGATGCAGAAAGCTGCCCCAGCTGCCCGCTCTGCTCCATGCAAGTCAGGGAGAGCCCAAATCTGCCACGTCTCGAGAGCACCGGCCGTTGCGGTGCACAGCTAGCCATCTTGCTTCATGCAACACAAGAGTCCCACTCAGCACTGGAGCAATTTTTAACTGAAGTTGAGACACAGCATGCAGTGGTGTCAGGAAGTGTGATATAAACCAGATCTGATCATTTGACTCTCAACTTCCAAAAACTAACTGCCTTTGCCTGTAGCAAACTGCATCTCTCCACAACATGAGAGGGAAAAATATTCCAGTGGTGTACTGGAAAGGAAATAAGAGCATTGTTTTAATTAAAGCAAAGGCTACCCAATCTCCAGACAGAGCAGTGGATAGGGATCCAAGCAGCAAAACACAGCACTATGCCAAGCGCTGAGCGGGACCAGAGCTGTGCCCAGCTGCGTCCTTGCGCAGCTATGGGACACACAGGCTGCTCCTGCGATTGTGAAGTGACTTCAAGTGTGACTGCTTTGGGGAGCTGAGGAAACGGTCCTGAAACCAGGAAATATATACATATATGTAACACTGTCAGCCACAAACAGTTGCTTCATTTGTGGCTAGTGTGACTTAGCTGAGAGGTGCTGCTAAGAGGGTCAGGGATGGACATACACAAGGGTGCAGAGCTGATGTCCTTTGCTAGGGCAGCAGCAGGGACCTGCTTCTTCTGGAGTAGCTACCTGCTGCTGAGATCAGTGATTGAGACTTAGGTGGAGTGAGGAGGATGATTTGAACCCTCAATGGCCTCTCTTTTCAACTTTTTTATCTGCTTCAGTCTTCAGCCCAAATTAACCCATGCAAGACAAAACCACACAGGTGCTCTGAGCAGAGCCCTGTATGGAAAGGGCCCCAGTACCTGGGGGATGGCTCGTGAGCAGCTCCTCCATGTGTAAAGCATCACGGCGTACTCGTGGCCTTCCTCCAGCATTTCGTTCTGAAACACAGAGAGGCGTTGTTGGGGCAGGGCACGCACCGTGGCTCAGCATCGCCGGGGCAGTGCCCAGGGGACTCACCATGCTGGAGTGCACCGTCGCCTGCTCGATGTACCTGGCTATGCCGGTCACAAAGGCGTTTCTGTCTTCAAAGTTTGTGTCAAAATTAGCCTGTGGGTGAAACAGGGATTGGGATTAACATACATACATGCTAGTTGTCTCACCTGATGCTGTGCACTGGCAAATTGTTTCGGGAGTATATCCAGGGAACCCCATGCAGGCACAGGCTCGAGGGCACTGGGGCACAGGGTCAGCCTATGAAAAATTTGAGGTGCTGGAAATGACTGCCTCTCTAGGGCTGGAGTAGATTTGTACGGGCAGCCTGCAATGCATCTGAACCATGTGTGTTCCTTAGAAAAGACCCTGCAGATTATATGTGTGAAGATGTGGCAATCAAGACTGACACAGCCTTATAAAGTCAAGCCAAGCCAAGCGGGGATCAGTTATAAGGAACTGCAGCCACACCAGTGAGCAAACCTCTAGCGGTTATACTGAAGACTTTAGTCTGCTAACTCAAAGACAAACACAACCTCATTAACATCCATTTGTGCCCCTGACTGCTAGGGGAAGACCACATCCTGTCAGCAGGAATTGCAAAGGATAAACACGTGGAAAGGGCAGGGAAAGAGATGTCTGGAAAACATAAATACAAAAATCAGTACTCGTTCAGATGCCAGTAGCAGTGCTAGTGTTGCTCTTGCAAGCAGATGCTTTGGGAGGAAAAGTTGTTTGGGAAGCTGAGCTACTGCTTTGGGACTGGATACGGGAGCGAGGAAGTTCAGAGCAAGGTGGAGGGTGAGAAAGCAGCTCCTTGGCCTTGCGGCACCGAGCGCCCATTCACACACTTTGTGCTTGGGCAATTTCCTCTGCCAAGGCACGCTGATGGTATCTGCTGCAGGGCAGAGCACACGCGAGTCCCAGGCGCCCAGAGCTGCTCCTTGCAATGTCATCAGCATTGCAGCCGTGTTCACCTCAGTAACCCATTTCCTGAGAGGCAAAGCTGAGAGCACAGACCTGTGGCCGCAGGGCTGTTTTTCGAAGCGCCTCTCGGACAGCGCATGTGGCTGAGGTGAAAGCAAAAGCTGGGGCTGTGTGTGCATCTCTGGGCAGCAGGGATGGGGCTAACCCCAACGTATCTGTGACAAGGAACCAAGCTGGGCAAACGCTTCCAGATCTGGTTAAGATGAGGTTTTTAGGTCCAGATTAGTGCACACTTGTGATATGAGACATGAGTGAGGCTGTGCCATAAGACAGGACCTTCAGCCTGTCGCAGGACACAAGCCAGTGAAGATAAAAAATTGTTTTGTGAAGAGAGATGCTGAGTTGATACCAAGATTTTCCAGGGCTAGCTGACATTTGAACAGCCCAGAAATGCCTTTGGGTTTGATAACCCATAGAGATACTAACGCTACTGAACAAGCCCGCAGCTTGACCTGCTGAAAGAGATACTGTAATTCCAGAGCCCTGCCTACACGGCATGGCCATCCCTGTATGGGTGCATTTATGTACAGTCACGGGTAAACCACGAAGACAGGAGTGGCAGGACAGAGAAAGTAACCCCGCGTTATTTTTAACCCCGGGTGTGTGCAGTAGGACAGGGTGTGGTGGCCAAGCAGTTGAGGCATCCCGCTGTGGATGCACAAGCAGGGGTCTGAGCCTTGTCCTGGGATCACGCCAAGCTCGGTCAGCGCAGCTGCAGCTAAATCTGTGGGTGTTCGAGGCAGAGCAGTGATTGTGGGCACTGCCCTCCCCTGCATGCCCTCCGCTTCCCCAGCAGCAGCTCCAGCTGTGCTGGCAGCACAGGCCAGCCAAATTCAGGCAGAATTTTGATTTTGACCTACTTGGACACATGCAGTACCATGAAAAGGAAGCACAGAAATACACGCACAATAAAACAGCACCGAGAACTCTCTGCTGTTATCACAAACCTTATCTCTGGCTTCTCACTGGTTCATGCCCTCTTGTCCTCATGGTCAACTTCCCTACATCTTGCTCAGTGCTCAAGATCCCTTTCACCAGTCTCTCTGGGAGCAGATTTGTGGCTAGGTCTGTTGTGAATATTTCCTTAAACGCACCGAACCAGGAACATTTTTTGCTCGTTCTCACAGCACCACGCGCCCCCCTGCTTTGCATGAACCCCTGCGCTTTGCATGCCCTGCTGCAGCCGGGGCTGGAGGTACCTGGTACATGATGGAGGAAGGGGGCGGCTCGATGCATGGCTGCTGGTCGGGCAGGGGCAGCTCCTCCAGTAAATCCACGTTGGACAGGGCGTCCTCTAGAGTGACGTGGGTGGTCATGGTTCTGGCTCTTCAGTTTCCACGCTAGATCCAAAGGAAAAGAGAGGGTGACAGACAGTCAGCAGGCAGAAGACTCAGTGGGAAAGCACCAAAGGATAAAACTGGAGCCAGGACTAGCTTGCACCGCAGTGGGTATGATCCTGGTTCATCTTGTTTTCCTTTTCTTGTGTATTTAACCTATATCTCTGTGTCATCTCTCCTTCCATGACTCAATAACAAAGCAGGAATGCAGAATAAGAGGAACACAGCCACCCACCCATGTCCTCCTTTACTTAACTCTATGCAAAACTGCTGGAGACACGAAACAGCTGGGGGCTGCAGCGCAGCTTAAGCAGCCTCAAGTGAAAGCTTGTGCTCCAAAATGCAAAGTGGTGCTTTCCAAAATCTCTCCTGAAGCAGCGTGATTAGAAAAGCATGACCAGCACTGACGCTCACATGATCGCCTTCCCACATACATGAGCAGAGCTGGAAACTGTAAACACCGAAGCGATTTTCACAGGTGAACCGGAAAGAATCGGCTTCTGCACAGTCAAGCTGTGGCAGCTCAAGCAGAAAAAAAAAAAAAAAAAAAAAAAAAAAAAAAAGTTGCTGCTAAAATAAGAAATTTCCTTGCTTTAACCAGACACGCAGTGGCCCCTGTCCAGCCCCAGCCTGCCCTGCAGCTGCCACCGGCGGTGTCTTGAGACAGTGCCAGCTGCACAAGAAATAAAAAGCAAAGGGAAACGGTTCTGAAGGAGCTCGCTGGTGATTACCCCTGTGCCGAGCACCGACGCGGACAAGCTGAGACGCAGGATCAAGCTCTCTGTCCCTGATCTCTTTTGCTCTTCACCTTTGCATGCGCAAGCACGGAGGGAAGCTGCTGTCATCTGGGCTGAGCACTTGTATAACCACCGCCACCGGGCTCCCCCAGTTAATGCCTAATCCATGTGCAGGAGCTGTGGCTGACCTGGAGTCTGTCCTCTCGGAAAACATGCAGCTGCATGTAGGTATTTGTAGAGAGAGAACTGGCTTTGAGAACTGACATATTGTTCGATTAGCAGATCGCCCCTCTTTCGAGGAGCACTTTTTTTACCAGTTGGAGCCTGTCTAGTTTCTAATGTGAGCCATCGGGTTTTATCACTTTAATCTGCAAGACAGTAGAGCTCAATAGAGCTCAAAGTTCCCATCAAGATACTCGCAGATTTCAATACAAACACCCTGCAACCTTCGCTTCTGCTCAGGCAACTGGGCCAAGCTCCTCGACTGCCTTGTTATTGGGTATGTTTTTCCAATCCTTTCATCTCTTTGGCTTTTCTCTAAGCTTGATCCAATTCTGCAGCTTTTTTTTTTTTGCCAAAGCGCAGGACACAGGGCTCCAGCAACGCCTGCACAAGTGCCAGATAGAAAAATAACACCATGTCCCTTCCTGCTCACCACCATATCCTTGGTCACAACAGCAGCTCCACAGGCGCTCCCGTTCAGCCGATAATCTGCTACAATTCCCCTAGGTCCTTTTTTCATGTTGTTGTTTTTAATTGAGTCACTGTTTCCCCGAATACAAGTTTGCTTTTCGTTTCCAGCACTGGGAGCACGGAAGGACAATGGCTGCGGGATGGCCACAGACAGACACACGTGCACTCAGCGAGGAGCACAGCCGAGGGGGCTGCGGGCAGCCTGCAGTCCTGGGGTGGCTTCGTGTTGGTGAGGAGAGGGCCTGCTGCCTGCACGCAGGAGCTGCAATATCTCTGAGCCTGGTAAAACCCACGTCACCTCCCCAAACGCCTCCCCAGGGCACCAGGCAGCTGAGGAACAGGCTTGGTTGTATTTGCAGCTTGAAGAACCACGAAATAAGTATCTGGAGAAAAGAATTCTCAAGCAGCCCCTTCCCTACTCGCTCAAATTTCTTTTTTCCCCCGTCACCCCGTTTGTCCCCAGTTGCTGCCTGTAACAAGGTGCAAAAACTGCCCAAAGCAGCTGCTCTGTCCTGTTCTGAGCAGGAGATCCGGGTCCCAATTTGGCATTGCAGACCTGTGGTGCCGGCCATGGCACAAACCTGCAAGAAGCCAACAGCCCCTGCCCCACAGGTCTGGCACTCCGTTGCAGGAAGGGAGGCACCACGTAGAAATAACGAACAGAAGAGGAAGCCTCGAGCACCGGCAAGCTATCAGCCCTGGCCACAGCCCACCCCCTGCTTTGCCACGGCTCAGCAGAGTGCAAGAACCGGGATCCAGGTGGAAAAACTGCCCGAACTTTGTGGGTTTACCAGATGAGTCCTCATTGCAACATCCCCAGGAGTGACGGGGACTCCCAGTTTCAATTCTATGTTTTCTTCAGCGCAATGGCAGAAGCAAAGGAGACGAAGGGGAACAGTGAAGTCAGTCGGGACTTCCTCTGGGTCTCAGGCCCTTGGCAAGCCGTGGCAGAGGGCAGCCCTGCAGCTGGCAGCACACGATGGAGGGGACACCCTGGGCTGTCAGACCAGGATCCTCACCCCACAGCATCCCTGGAGGAGCAGCCTCAAGCAATTCCCCATGGCGCAGGCGCTGCCCTGTCACATCCAGCTTCACCCCCTCCGTTCAGCAACCAAGTGACTACAACCGGGGAACTACAGGGGTCCTGGGGGCACCCACCGAAAAATCCTCGTTAAGCCTTACCCCCCAACCCCGGCAGAGCTGTGCCAGCTGTGCCTGCAGCTCACCAGCGGCGCTTCCTTCCTGTGCCAGCACACGTGGGGCTGCGGCCGCGCCGCCCAAGGTGGAGCACGGCGGCGTGCCCCAAACGGGGCTTTTTTGTTACCATAGCTCATGGGCTGCGGGGTAAGGCTTTCCTTCTCACACAGGAAACATATCCTGCCTGTGTGGATTCTTGGGCTGCTACAAGCTGCCTCTCAAAACTATTTTCTTCTGCATATCCTGCCTCTGATCAGAGGCTGATGCTCCTCCAGCAACGTGTGTTTTGGTAGAACTCAACGTGAGCCTGGCAGGAGCCAGCCCCACCCTGGTGAAACCCTGGGGAGCAGAGACATGGCCAAAGGGCTAATTACAGCTTCTGCTGATGAGCAGTGGTGCTAACGAGAGCTGCACATACTTCCTGCCCATCCGCTGCAGAAACTTCTTCCTCCTGTGGTCCCCCAGGGGCAGGTGATGCTTGGTGCTCCCCGTCCCACCTGCCCAAAGCGCCAACCCCAGGCACGCCAGCCACACAGGATCCACAGGCCCAGCCCCACCACTCTGTAGCTAAAATTATGGTAAATCTGTTGTGAGAGCAGCCTAGAGAGCGTAGCAAGGTTTTGAGAAGGAGCAAGGATGGACATCCCTGGTGCCTGAGCTCGCAGTCTCAGGGCAGGTCCTACCTTCCCCGCTGAAACGCTCGCCCAGAAGTGTCTGTGCAGCATCATCCTCTTCACAGCAAGAGGAACAAAGAAGCCTTTATTGTTAGAGCAGCATGGGGGAACAAAGGAAGACTTCTGAAAGCAGGGCCATAATGAATATGTTGCATGCATGTGTGCTTGGCTTCGAAGCTGCGCAGCTGAGAGCGCCTGGGGAAGTGGCATGGGCTGCTTCGGGTTTGCAGCTCACCTGCTCCTACAGCAGGCATCCAAGCTGGGGCCGCAGGAGCGGACAGGAAAGGAGGAAAGAAATCACAGGAATTCTGGAGATTGGCAGTAACTCTGCGTCCTGCACGCCTGGGGTGAGAGGAGCAGCAAATTGACTTTTGATTGGGAGATGGTGATACGGAGAAAAAGGGCAAACTTCTGGTCACCTCCTAGGATTTGGGATTTGTCTCCAGCTCTGATGCCCAGCCCCTGGGTAACCCTGGGAACATCACGTAATACATGATTGCCCCTCTGACAATGTTCCTCCCCCTTACTCCAAAAAAAAACCCCTTTAATCCATGGTCAGGAAGCATCCTGGCCCAAGTGCCCAGCTGCCTGATGCCTCAGGCACACAGCAGGACATTTCTGGTACCCATTGCCTCACAGCAAGAGGAGGGTGAATGCTGCTGGCTGACAACGTACCTTCAGTTAAGTAGAGTAACTTTGGGATGCAAAAGGTTAGTTTTACCCTTGCCTAAAGTTCACGAGATTAACGTCCCCTGTGGTTTAGGATGCATGACATCAAACTCTCCTTGCACGCTCTAAGAATCACTTGTAATTTCAACACCACGCCAGTCAGGAGGTTCTTTGCATAAGCAGATAAACACAGCCAGGATGAGCAAGGCTGGCAGAGCTGGGCTCCTGCCCTGCACAGACACAGGCATTAATGACCATGAAATTACTCTTCCCATCAAAAAGGAAGCCAAAATGCCCAACTCCTGAAGCTGCTGGTCTGCATCTCCACTCTGCATTTTCAGCCACCTCGTTATGGTGGAGTTCCAGCCATCTCTGCTGTCTCTGTTTCTCAGCAACATTTTATTTGGAATTTATTTCTTATAGAATAAATTGATCAAATTTTTTTCTGGTGCCAAAGAAAGAGGGTCAAGGCAGAAGACTGGTATAGGAAGCTACATTTCCAATATAGTTGAGAAATTTAGAGCAAGTTTCCAGGCAAGCTCCTTTGCTGACAGTCAAAGCACTTATTGAGAATTTGAACCATACAGAAATGAGCTGTTATAGTCGGACAATTACTGATCTTCCAGAAATGATCATCCTCTTTTCATGCAAATATGATAACTGTTTGTTAATAAAGTTCTTATTATGATAGGATAGTCCTGCTTTGCTAAAGAGACCCGGGTCAGAAAATGGAAGATTTTCCATATTCCTCGGGCTTCATTAACAGCAATTAGCTGCACAGAGAAAAGGAGAAAGGCGTTATCCTTTGTAGGGAATTACCCTAGAATTACAGGGCTGTGACAGACACCAAAATAGCGGGCTGGCCACCCAGCGCGGTGCCCAACCTGACAACTGTCACCGTGCCGAACACGAGCGCGCTCTCCTCTGGCTAGCTGTGCAGGGCTGGGGGGTGCCGAGGGTGCTGCAGCCCAGCCTAATTCTGCAAAACCTTTGTGGCCTGAGCCTGGCGGCCTCCACCCCCCTGGGGAAAGTGGCAGATGGCGAAGGGGGACAAGCTGTGCTGGCGGCCTCCTCGTAGGGCGCCCAACCGGCACCCTCTTCCTTCCCCAGCCCAGCCGGCAGAATAAGGCCCAGTAAGCACGGGGGGCGGGGGGGGGGGTCCAGCATGTGCCTCTTGTTCCCCCCATCCCTATCCAGCCCCCCCCAGCAGCCATCCCTTCCTCCCAGCGGGATGCATTTCCAGCCTCCCCACCTGGAAAGTTGCCTACAAAGGAACGCTCCCCGCTCACGGCCTCCACCCGGGTGGGGGGAAATTTTGGGGATGGGGGACGTTCCCCCAGCTCCCACCGCCCCCAAAACACGACCCTGGATAACCATCAAGGCCCCCAGCCCACCGCAGCCCCCCCGGCTCAGCATCCCCCCGCTCCCCTCCCTGCCCTGGGCACCATCTTCCCCCAGCAGGCACTGACTGCGGACCCCCTGGGGACCCTTTTGGGACCCCCACCATGACCCCCCCAGGGCCAACTCCTGCCCCTGGCCCCACCGCCCCCCTCCATCGCCTCTTCCCCCATTTCCCCCCCCTTGGGGTGGGGGCAGCATCGCCGCCACCGGGCTGTGCGGAGCGCTGCCATCACCCCGGGGCCTGCAGCGCCCACCGGGCCGGGGGCTCAGCGCTTCCCCCCCCCATCCTAGAAGGGGAGAAGGGGATTTTTGTGTGTCCCCCCCCTCCGGCGCCGTGCTCTGACGGCGGGGGGGCTGCCTGCCGCAGGTAGCACGGAGCATTATGGGATACATCCTCGCACATCCAGGGCCTCCCACCCTTGGGTGGTGGTGGGGGGACGGGACACAGCACCTGCCCCGCCGGGTGGCACCCCCATCGCGAGACCCCCCCCAGAAAATATAAAAAAAAACCAAACCCATCCCGACCGGGGGCCGCGGAGCTGCAGGGATGCGGCGGCGCAACCCCCGCGCAGCCCCCGCGCAGCGCTCCCACCCCCGCCCCGCTCACCTGGCGCTCGGATGGATGAGGGGGGGACGGGACCGAAAGGGGGGGTCCTGGGGGATTAGGGAAGGGTAAAGGGGCAAGGGGGGGCCCGCAGCTCGCCGGGATGCTCCGCGCCGCCCGCACAAAGAGCAGGAAATGGCTGCAGCAAGTGCACTTCCGCGGCTCTCCGCCGGCCCCTCCGCACGGCGGCGGGGGGAGCCCCGGCCCCCGGCGAGGGAAGGGGCTGGAGCGGGGAGAGCGGCTCCTCCCCCCCCCAGGCTGCAAGGGGGGAGCCCGGGGGGTGCGCTGGGGATGTGCGGGGGGTACCCGAGGGATGCGCGGGGGATGCGCGGGGGGTACCCGGGGATGCGCGGGGGTACCCGAGGGATGCGCGCCCCTCCGCTGGGCAGCGGTAGGGGGGGGGAAGGGGCTGCCGGGGGTCCCGGGGAGGCAGGACCCCCTTGTTGGGTGCCGGGGGTGCCGCCGCCCCGAGGTTACCGCCCGGGGGTGTGAGCCGGGGTGGCGGTGAAAGGTTTGTGCTTAAAATGCCCGCGGAGCTTTGGGTGGCTGGGCGTGCGAGGGGTGGAAGGCAGGAGGCGATGCCTTTGCTCCGAGCTTTTTCTGAGTCAGCACTGCATGCCAAAGAGCTGCCTTTTGGCGTTTTTTGGCATCTGGCGTTTCTTCGGGGACGAGTTTCCAGTCCTTCTGCCCACGCTGCTTTGTAAGGTTTCGATACGGCTCTTCAGAGCCGGCGTGAAATCCAAGCTGGACCTCTTACAACCTGCAGAGCAGCAGCTCCTCGCCGTAACTGATGCAAACCCTGGATGGGGCCTTCATTCATTTTTCGGCAGCCCTCTCAGCTGCTGCTGCTGGTTGAAAGACATTGGTGGATGTGCAAGACTGCTGAAAGCCGATGTTTATGCCTAGATACGTTTCCTTGGTGGCCTTGGCAGTGTCCCCTCCCTAAGCATCAGCCTGTGCTACAAGCAGGTTGCCATCTGGCCCTTCCTGTGTTAGGGTAACTGCTCCCAATTCCTTAGAGGCTGCGGCTCTGCTGTCCGTGCTAGCTTGGCATGGGGTCTGCAAACCACAACGACAGTCTGTGACTGTACTGTGACAGTCTGTGACTGTGACTGTCAACGACTGTACGACAGTCATAGAAACAGCCTTTGTTTTAGCAGATAGGACCATACCCGAACAAACCTGCATCTCTCTGTGTAGACTTTTCTCATTCCCCTCTGCGGCATTTCTTCTACCTCACCTTTAACTGGAACGTTTTGTAGCCATCATTCCTCTTTTTACTATTTATTGCTTGTCAGAAAAATTCAGTAAGTGAACATTATTATTGCAGATCTGGGAGATTTCACAGCTAATATTGCTCTGAGGCCGTGGGTGAAACAAGGTCAGTTCAAGAAACCTGTGGCAGGTAAAACTGCTGTGGACTTTTTATTTATTTATTTATTTATTTTGTGTGTGTACAGTTTAACCTGCTCCTGTTATCAGCCAGGCTCAGGGTGATGGGAATTCAACAGATGTTGTGACGCTATTTTAATTTTCTGTTCTGTGCTGTCTTAGGTTACAGAATAAGGGAACGAGCTTTGCGTTTATCGTGCAGATCACTGCAGGATAGGAGGACTGGCAGTGGGGCAGGCCCACCAGCCTTGTGCCAGTGCTCACCATAGCAGCAGGCTGGGGACGTGCTGGGACAGAGCAGTGGGACCAGGCCACAACTTCCTAATACTTCCTAGTACCTCCCAAGCCAGCCCCAGAGCGCAGCCGTAGCTCTGGAAACAGAAGATGTTGCAGAAAGCCAGAAGAAGCCTGTTTGCTTCTTGGAGGGGAGGATTTTGCAAAAGGGCAGGGTGTGTGATTATGAAAGCATAAGGGTGTTTTTTTGCATTTTTGCTGACATATAGTGAAAGCCACAGTTGGGACAAGGTATTTTTATTATTTGTAAAAATATATATTGTGTATATAGAAATTCCTGCTAAAGAAGACCAAACGTAAGACATTACAACATTATTTCGTGCAATGCTCCCTAGCTAATAAATATTACATTTATCTCATCAAACATAAATATAGCCTTCAAAACAATTCTTAGAAGAGCAACACTGCTGCTACATAATAGCAACTTCCTCAGTCTTGACAGATCCCTGGTTGCTCCCTGGATGGAAAGGGCAGCAAGCCAGAGGCTGGGCTTTGTGAGCCTGTGGATATCCCTGCCGTGGGCTGGGTGGCTGTGCCCAGGGAAAAAAAACATTTCAGAGCATGCTGCAGTTGTACAACTCCTCTAAGTGGGGTGGGGGAGAGAGTGGGATTATGGCCAGCTGGCCTGAAACTTAGCCATAGGTGTGCACGCAGTTCAACTTGTGTAGGGCTACTGAAAATGGCATTGGCTAAACACCAAAGTTAGCACCATGGGAACATGACAACAGGCTAATTCGGACTAAAAGGGTGAGAGGGACAAGGAGAAACTTAGCTTAAATTCACTAGAGGTAAGAAATCAAAATCTGTTCTGTAGATGTTCATATTCCACATGTAGGTTCAGACTGCTGAGGGATTTTGGCAGCAATCCTGACCTGAAGGTAGCACTCTGACCCTGGTTTGGATTGACAACCTCTGGTCTGAATGTTAGGATTCTCCTTGCTTGGGAGAGTCATTCTGGATTATATTTGTAGAAGGAGAATAACATGGAAACAAAGCAAAGTGGGAAGATGCAGGAACTACGTCTTGCTTGTATCCATAAACCTGAAAAGATGCTGGCTGCTACCTTAGAACCACAGGTCTGAAAAATACCAAAAATTTGTCCTCCTTCTATGAAGAAACAATCTGACACAGGATATGTGAGATCATAGGATTACAGTATTTCCTTGTTCCATTTTTGTTGGCAAACATCTTTGAACTTGACTTCTGTAATGACATGAGAAATTGCTGCTGGAAGTTTGCACCTCAGACTTTTTGTAAACTGTTGTCACGTAAGGTTTACCCATGTCCTAGCTTGCCCAAACACAGGAACATCAAACATACAGATTGCATATATGCACATAGCATCTGTGAGGCCTTTTGGCTTCCCTAGTTATAGTTAATGCTTAGCAGAAATCCTGATCTTACAAATTCTACAGGACGCTAACATGCATGCTTCTGTTTTGGAGGCTGGTTACGTCAAATCAGTGTCTGTCTTGCAGAGAAAAGGTAGATTTTAATTGAAGTACCCGCGCTGTCACCTCATAATGTGGAACTCATCAAGAAGTACCCAGGCAGTCCGTTTGCATAAGCCTTTCTTTCCTTGATCAGTCCCTAGAGGATTCACCAGTTTGTTGAGAGAAGAGATGGAAAACTCTCTACTTGATAATTCAGTTGCTCTTTGAAGTCAGCGAAAACTTCTCATTATCGTTGGCGCACTGATCACACACTCCATGTTTCCTCCTCAGGGCTACCCTTCCAGCGCCCGCTGGCTCCTTCCCTCCAAACACACTGGTTCTGGAGTAGGTTCCTGTGCCTCTCAGGGGCAACCAGATCGTGGGATCCTGTCTTCTCCTGGGCTAGAGACACCCAGCACTCGGCCCTGCTGAGTCCTCCATGCTTGGTTCAAAGAAATTGGTGGAAGTCTCTTTTCTGATGTAGAAGGACTGAAGAAAAAATGAATACTTACTTTCAGCTTTGACTTTTTTTCCCCATCAGAGAGTCCCATTTTCCCACTCACTACACAAATTTGAGAGAATTTCAAGACTCTTCAGCACATTGCTTTTTTTTCTTCCTCCCTTACAAACTTGGGTGAACATACAGGCACCTCTTCAGCTTATGGGATGCCACAACCCTGTTTTTGTTCAGCCACAGTTTCAGAGAAGATCATGTAAAAGAACAAAACCACCTTGAAATATCAGCATCAGAAATGCAGACACTAAATCCAGTTTGTTTCCTTGTGTTCCAGGTTTATTCCTGTTCACAGCTTTCAGGTCCAGCCTACTCTGAATTAGAGAGCCATGGAAATGTCTAAATGTTCATCTTCAGCCAAAGATGTTTGTTTTTTTTTTTTTTTTTTTTTTTTTCTTCTTCCTCCAGGAAGACCTTAATTTGGCAGTTCACAGAACTGGAATAGCAATGCCAGATCTCTTACTTTTGAGGCTGTATCTTCATGAGAAATACGCTTGCTGGGTTGCGTGGCGCAGGAATCTGTGCTCAATTGCTGGTTCTGCTTGTAAGATGCAAACCACTTTCCTGGCCAGTCCTAAGCCCGTGCCTGTGCTCTGGAAGACCTAAGGATATCTTGTCTGTCTGGAAGTACTGGCCTCTGCCCTCTCCTTCTCCCCAGGCGTACGACAAGTGTCTATGGTGAGAGGATTCCTGTTAATGCTCATGTGGGGAAAATCCAGCCATCTGCCCTCTCAGGACTCTCAGCTTCACTTAGTGGCCAGTGCTGTGATTACAGATCATACTCAGAGATTTCACTCAGCTGATAGAGCAGAAGAGAAAAGGATGGGCGGTCTTCTTTCCTCTGAGCAGGGGAGAGAGAGGGAGAACATTAACGTCAGCTTGAGAGGAATGGTGAGGTTACAAAGGAAAACTTTGTGACAAGACTGAGCTTTTACAGAAATAAAACCCATTCTCACAGAGAAAATGCCAATGGAAGAATGAAGTTCCTTCTGTGCAGTTTCTCTTCTACTAGCAGTGAGTTTTCCCTAGAGGCCACTAAGACCTTGTAATGGGTTGGCTGTCATTTTTACCATCTGTATTAAAACCGAGCTTCACTGATATGTAGCTTTTTTAGGAAGCAAACTGCTGAATTAACTTAAGTGTGCTACATAGACTTCTCAGTTGAGTCAACACATTCTAGAGAGATAGCAGCTTAAATAAAAACCAAAGAGCCCAGGGTTTAACTCAGCTTGCTAACACAGATGAAAGCTACAAAATGCCTCACGTCCAGGATTTGATCCTGTGCTAGCATGTGAGCATCTCCTAAACACTAAAGGGAAGAGAGCTCTTGTTGGTGAGAACTAGGGCTCTCCCGGTGAAATACTAACCATGCACCAGCAGTGGCTCATGACCTCATAAATAGCCTTGGAGGCCAGCTTGGGTTTGTAGAGCCGAAATCCTGCATTGATTTCTTCCACCACTTCTCCGTTGGTGCGGTTCTCATAGGGCATTTTACCTTCACTGAAGACCTCCCACATCAACACTCCTAAAGCAAACAAATGAGAACAATCACAAGGAAGCAGATAACATCTTCAGCAGGCCCACAGCCCCCCTTCACATGCCCTTTGCAGGTCAGTGTTGGTGTCTGTTACTTAAAAAAGCATTCTCACCCAGATTCCGAGCATACATCTGAAAATTCAGGCCCTAATGAACCTGTAGATGGAATGTCAAAGGATTGCAGCCCGTATTTTCCCTTTCCCTAAACGCTGAAATAATTTCCTATGATTACTGTTCAGAGCAGTGCAGAAACTCGTGTTTTTCTAGTGTGGTGGAAGACAGACAGACAGACAGAGACAAAATGGTGGTGGAATGCATTGCAGTTGGCCATCAGATCAGAGAGGGTCTGCAGATGGAATGAATGGCAGTTACTTGTGTTATTATTAGGTTTAATTCCTTCATTCACCTGATATGACTGTCTTGGTAAACCATGTTCATGCTGTGTAAGAAAACAGACAGACAGGCAGATCTGAAATAGAGTTGTGTAGCTCCCCAGTCAACTTTGCTAGGGAATGCCTGCTTTCCAGCTTCTAATTATTCAAATAGGAAGATGCAATGAGATTGCAGCTCCCCACCAGTGACACTGGCTCTGCTGAAGACTACGCCAAGCAGCTGTACTCCCCCAGGGTGCAGATTCCTGGCACTGGGAATTGCTCACACCCATTTTTTTCTCCTGGGCACAGCAGGACTTCAGGCCTGGCAGGAGAGGTGAACACACTGCAGAGCAGAGCAGAAAGCATCTCACAGTCATGAGACCGTGAGATGACAGAGGAATCCTCTTGTGTAAAGCCACTGGAGGGACAGGTAATAATGCCAGCAGTGTGCAGCACTGGTGCCTGCAGGTTTCACCAAGGAGGACTGACCGGTGCAAAACTCATAACTATTTAATTCAGTCCTGAAACTGGTGCGAGCCATCTTGGCTGGACTGTAAATCAAGCTGAACACACTTTTTTGGAGACATCTGGCTCTTACAGGGGCCCTAAATGTGAATCAGCTCAGCATTTTCTGATTTGTGAAGCACAAGAGCATTACTGAGGCAGCATCTCTTCCCATGTCACTGCCACTTTGCTGTGAGGTGTCAGAGCTAGCTCCACTGGCAGTGCTGTCCCCTGTTATTATGTGGACAGTGCTGACAGCCTCCTCCACATGCCAGGGGACACCAAAGAGGAATGGAATATCTCCGGGTTGGGTTCTCAAAGGAGCCGCGTGTGTCTGAGCACCCAGCTCTGACCGCACTGCTCAGCCCCCCGGGGACTGCACAGCCTCACCCAGCACGAACTGCACAGTAAGGGGAGAGGCAAGCACAGAATTCACGAGCACAGACTAGCAAAGGTTATAATCCTGCATTATTTACTGCGAGGCCCGGAGCTGAGTGGCACCCCATTGACTGTGTGCTGTGCGCCGCACACTGCACCACTTCATTCTGCACTGCCGTGATTTGCATGTTCGCTGGAGATGGGCCAGATACATCAGAGTGCCAGATCAACAGGCCAGGGAATAGCCTTTGTTATCTCCAGTGCCAATGATTTTGAGGAAAAAATATACAACAGCTTTCTTATCTGTCAGGGTCCAGAAGGGAGACCAAAGAACAGATGCAAATCGTAAAACAATGCATCAGGGAGCAGGAAATTAGGTGAGAAAATGTCAGCACTGAAATAATATTTTCAGATCAGCATAAAGCAAACGGAGTCAGCAATGCAAACTTTGAAAAGCAGAGGGTTTGAGTGAAGCTTGAGTGCCCAGGACTGACATGCAGAGAGATGGAGTCCCTACATCTCTTTCCTTTCTTTTCCTTATAGAACTTGTCAGCAACTCTCCAACATTTTCTTGGTCACTTATTCTATGGCATCATGAAATAGAGATTGTTGTTTGGTATTATATCACATCGTACAGGTATAATATATAAAATTGAAAGTATCTGAGGTGTGTCAAAGTATCTAGGCAGTTTACTATTCTTTCCTTTCACTTTACTGATTTAGGCTTGCTTTTCTAAGCTGCTTTTCAGACAAAACACCCTTAGGACCCAGAAGATGCACTGTTTAGGACATTTTACATGAGCACTGAGCCCCTGTTTTTTTTCTGAGCTAGTGTTTATTCAATGTAATTGTATTCTGATGAGAGGTTCTTACCAAATGACCAAACGTCTGATTTGGTGCTGTAGTTACTGTAGGAGAAAACCTCCGGGGCAGACCATTTGACTGGAAACTTGGTGCCCGTGGAGCTGGTATACTGGTCATCAAGGACAATCCTGGAAAACAAAAAGAAGGGAGCGTGCTGAGCAACCCTCTTGCCCCCTGCCAGCCCCCCCATGTGCAGCCCCGGTGGCGTTACCTTGACATCCCGAAGTCAGACACTTTGACCACCTGGGACTCCCCCACCAGGCAGTTCCGAGCAGCCTGCAAGAAAAGAAGATGCAAAGGCAGAAGGTCAGTGCTGAAAGGCTGTCATAGACACTTAGCTGCTTTTAGCCCAGTACAGCAGACAGTGCTTAAAAATAGGAGAATCAAAGTGACATCATACCATACAAAAAAGGTGAGAACTTGAAGTCCTAATGCTTTCTGTATGCTTTACAGCCTGCATGCTCCTGTTGCCAGGATCACGGTCAGCCATCAGTCTGACCAGCAGGCCTTTGCTGCCCAGAAGGGGCAGACAGACTGTGATTATCCATAGCCACCCACAATCCTGCTCCCTAGCAAAAATGGCAGCAGTGAATGAGACAGCTCGATTGTCCACTATGTAACTGAAGATATTGAAAATAAAATTAAATTAAAGCTGAAATTAAGGCAGCAAGGCCAGCTGGAGTGGAGAAAAAGTCTGTCTGGGAGCACATACCAGGTCTCTGTGGATGACAGAATTTTCTTCCAGATAAGCCATTCCTTCACATACATCTTGGCACATCCCCAGGAGGGTTTCTTTTGAAAAAGTGCCCCGCTGGCTCCTGAGGTAGTCAGGACAAGCAACCAGTGCTCCATGAACTCGAACACCAGGCATATGGGAGTGTTCTCAAAGCACACGCCATAAAGCTGGACTAGTTTGGAATGGGACAGCTTCCTGTGGACAAAGAGGGAAGGTGGAAAAAGAGGCTGAAATATGCTCAATCCCATCTGTCCTTACAGAAATTGTTATAAACAACCCACTTTTGTCACTCTGTTGCACTCTGCAAAGTCCAGCTATGAACTATGAATGCAGAAAAGAGAAAATATGTAGACCAAGTCTAACTGCAAGCTGGTGTTGCATTAAATATAATCCAATTTCAAACGTAGTAGTTAACAAAATACATTTCTGCATGGAAAATCATCCAATCAAGCTACTACTTACATCAATACTTTAGCTTCCTCAATAAAATCCTCTTCAGACATTGCTCCTTCACGAATGGTCTTTATGGCTACTTTTGTTTTCTCCAGCCAGTAGCCAAGGTAAACCACCCCAAACTGACCACTGCCAATTTCCTGTACACGGGTGAGCTCTGAGGGATTAATGACCAATTTTCCTGTTGATTGTAAAGAAGAAAGAGTAAGGATCTAATGTTAAAATGTCAAAGAAAAAGCTTTTGTGGGTTAAACATTAAGACAGGACTCCGAGTGAGAGTTTCTAACTCTCCCTTAAATTATCTGTCTGACCTTTGGTAGCTCATTTGGCTAGTCAGTGCTGCAGTTCATGTTCAGGAATAGGAATAACAACATTCCTTTTTTCTCTTGTCTATCCTATTTCTATCTTGTCTTCCTATTTCTCTTGTCTAACTAGTTCTTCGGGGAGGATTGTATCTACCATGCATATGCGCACTACTAAGCACAACATGTTTAAGTTTCTGTGATGTCTACAAAAATTACAATAAAGATGATACCAGCAAAATTCTGTAGTCAGATGGAAGCATCTTTCAGGAGGGACTCAGCTTTTATTAAGCTATGCTAAGCTCCCGTTCCCATCACCTTTGCTCAGCATTAATTTCAGTATCTAATGTTGACTTTAGTGAGGGCCTCAGCACCTTCCTCAAGACATTGACTTTGCAGGATCAGATCACTTGATCACCAACGGTAATGGCAAAGATGATAATCTAGGGAATGGTGCAATGTAAAGATCTGAAGAAAACTATTTGTTGTTGTGATAGTCACACAAGTATTCGTAAGTATCAGTGGGGATACTCCGTATCACCCAGCTAACCAGGGAGGAATGCGATTCCCAAATGGTCAAGACAGTTGCTCCATACCGTAGCTCAGACCTGCGGTGATTGGGGCCTTTTTCCTCCAAGAAGAGACTGCATATCGCAAACGAGTGACAAGACCTGAATAACAGAGGAAAAGGTAGGATCCAGTTATTGGCACAGTCATGGGAAGTGTGGCTCCCTCTCAGAAAGGAGTCCGTACACTGGAAGCAGATTTATTGTACTGAGTTCTCAGCTCCACTTGAGGGCAGCTGAACCTCTATTCAGTGTGATTTCCTGCCTGCTCAAAGGAAGCCAATTCTGAGCAGTTTCAATTTCCATTTTTGCTCTGTCAGCAAATATGAATTTCTATAAACTCTGACGGGATTCCAAAGAATACCTTTGATTTGTAGGTATATTCGAAACCCAAGGTTTCCCTTGGTGCACCTGAGCTGTAGGGGCAGGAATCTTTGATGCCTCCCACATTTGGCTATGGATCCTGGCCATGTCCCTGACTTTGTGTCAAGTCAAGGCCCAGGGCTATATCACCTCATGAGCAAGAAGGTGCTGCAGTGTAACTCAAGCAGGTAGCATGGTCTGGCAGTGCTGACACACTCCCATGGACTCCAGAGAAAGAAAGGGCTCTCTGTGGTATATCTGGATGACATACAACATCTGTGTTGGTCATCCTCAGCCTCAGAAGGACCACCAAAACGAAGATGTAATGTTGAAAGCTGAGTCAAGATGATCATTATACTGACATCCAAGTGCCAAGATAGCATTTCACTGTAAGGACAGTAGGCTTGAGAGGCTTCCTTCATTCAAAACAGTCACCTGGCTGCATGGCAAAACAACGACTTCTCTGGCTGGCCTCAGCCTTCACTCACCTCCTGCATTGTGCTGGTGATAGTTAATGAGTTCAGGGATGCAGTCAAACACGTGCTTTTCTGCCAAATAATATCGCTTGGGAAAGTCTGTTGTTTCATTGATGTGATAATGTTTTATAACAGGATTGTTATCCGTGCTGGAAAAGATGAGTTATTCTTTGAGAAAAAACAGGTTGCAACAAAAAACAGTAATTTGGGGTATAGATGGAGGGGAAGAGAGCAAGAAAGGGCAAAACCTTCCTTACACTGAAGGAATGGGAGAGGAGCAAGGAGTGAGCTGCAATTGCTAACACAGCTGTGTATTTGTGTGTTCTCCCCGTAACTCGTAGATGGTCTCATCTCTAGAAAGGCTGAGGTTTCCTGATTAGAGCAGGTTGAGTACCAGGTTTCTCTGCCCCTTCTTTCTGAAACAAAACTTTCTGCCCCATGACAGAAACCCTTTCACTAGTCTTATATTTTCCACCTCAAATGAGTCTATCTTGATCCTACAGACAGTTCAGCTGGGATGGCAATTCAACAAAATTACAACCCTGGTGATGTTTAAGGGGCTATTTATAGGCAGTTATTTAGATGCAGGGAGAAGTGGAGCCTTTAATACCCTTTGTTTTACAAAAGGCAGCTAACTCTTCTGCCTTTTTTGGAAGCGTTTTTCTCTACCATTTTCATGAGCCTTCTGCTCTCTCTTTATAATGCCAAAACAACTACAGAGATTACACTCTCAGAAGCCATTTCATTGATGTAATTGATGTGAAAAGCTGCTGAGCTCAGCCGTACCTTAATGCTTTGGTGAAAACAGAGACTGTGTACATGCCAGGCTGCCTCGAGTCTCTCACCATGAAGGCTCCTTCCCTACCCTGCAAGAAGAGCAAAAGAGAGAAAACTGGTTAGAGACATCATGGAAAAAAGAAGTGGGCCGGGGGCAAGCTCTGCTTGTTTCAGCCCTCTCTACTGCTCAGACATGAGGATGTGCTAAATATGTAGGAAAAAAAATGAGCCATCAGCCAACCGATGGAGGCTGCTGTTCCGTGCACTGCTCTGGTGTCTGCCCAAGGGCCTGCAGGTACACTCAGCTGGTTTTTCTTGGGTGCTACATATTTTTAGCTTAGTTTCCTGAGGAAATGAGAATTATGTGATCAGACCGTGCTTAGTATGTGTGGGGGTGGATACATGTGAGTGCGTGTCTCTCTGTCCCTCCAAGCCTCTCCTCTAGAAATTTTGAACCCATTGATGGCTTTCAACCTTATCTAGCAGAACAGTGGCGATATTAATTTCATGCAAGCTCAATTAAAATGGGCAGCCAAGTGGAAAGACAAACCCCTCTGAGTGCTCTCCACAGGGAGAGAAACTACAGGACAAAGATGCAATTTATTCAACACCAGAAAATCCATATGGGAGTGTAGGAAAGATAATTTACCAGTTTCCCAGAAATGTAAAAAACTTGGACAAGATCCTGTGCTTTCTCAGGTACCCTGGTCATCCAGTATCTAAATATAAATGCTTAGAAAAGCAAGTTTCCTCTACCCTGGAACTTACAAAACAACTTTCCATTCTAATTTTTCACTGTAATTGCTTTCTACTCATCTGAATGCTGAAATGTGTCCTAGGCCATGATCGGGCAGGGCCAAGCAGTGATGGATCAGATGGCAGAGGAGAAGATTTAACATAACATTTTGGATGTTATGTGCTGTGGTGCTCTATACACTGATAATAAAAAACGTGGTTTCCTTCTGTTTGCACACAAAGATACTTTTTGTCTGGTATCCCAACTGCTAGATTAGTTTTGCTTTGTTTTACCCGGCAGAGTTCCTCCATTTGTATGTGCCCTCTATCCATTTCTGTATCCATAAAAACATCTACCTAATACCAGACTTCCTTCATTTCAGCACTGTGCTAATATTGGTAGGAGACACACGGCAAGCCGTGAATGTCTTTTGTCTGATAAAGCTGGAAGAAGCTTTATCATCTTTTTCAGACAAAGATCACCCACAATACGTGGTGCAAAGCTGATCCACCGAGTGTGCCCTGCCTCAGCCTCCTTGCTCACACAGGTAGACAAGTGCTGGAGGCAGCATCCTGCCTGGGATGCTTTAAGCTCCATTCTTGCCCTTCCCTCTCACTTGACAGCAAGGCTGGCCAAAGATGTGCTTGGTCGCATTTTTTGAGGGACTTGTGAGGGTTGGGAGGTTTTGAATCAGAGGTCTTCTGGCTCTCTTGGTGAGTGCTGCCACAGAAAAGCTGTTCTGGTAGGACCCAAAGGAAAAATGAGCTCCCTAAACCATGTGTGGATATGTCTTATAGGAGTATATAGGAGAAAAAAGATTTTTTTTTTTTTTTAAACTGCATGGAAAAGCTTTTATTTTCATAAAATACTATCATTCAGCATCTTATTTGTATCTCCTGTTAGTGAAAGAGCTGATTTAAAAACTGAGGTTGAACTTGTGTGGAAAATTTGAACAAGCAGTGCATACTTTTTATTTTCATGACAGTCTTCACTGGAAAACTGTGTCTCCACTGAAAAATTAAACATGCACGCTCACACGCATGCACACACAGACAGAACTAAACAAAACGCCAACCTATACTTTGGCTTTCACCCAAAATACTTCAGCACGAGACCAGTTAGATTTTCTGAGAATTACTGGCATTTTCAGCCTCCTGCAGAGACAGAAACTATAAGCTAAAATCACAGTTTTCAGCTGACACGGTGTTCTGAAACGGTGTTTTCCATCACCCTCTCCTGCCCTGGAGGAGGGTGGCACAGGTCACCACCCACACCCAGCTGCTGTGGATCCCTGCTGGTCCCATACCTCACTCCTCAGTTGTCATTAATTAATTATATTGCCCATCTGACCCACATGTAACACAGGCTTACCTCATCCTTGAGGAGCATTTCTGCTTTGCTTCTGCTGATGTTCTTATTGTACCATCTGAAAACATCAAAGGACTCCGAGTCAGCACTTCTAGGCTATTAAAGTTCCTGCCAAAAAGCCTCTGCGCTAGCCCCAACACTAGCACAGATTGCTGGGGTGGGGACGTGTGGGGTTTGTAGCTTCTATAACAAATCCAGGGTGCTTGGAGGTACAAGGCAAACATAGGCACAACTTACTCATATATTTGCAGATTCTCGGGTGATTTTTCCACCAGGTAGCTACTTGGCACGTAGCCTTCATGCCTGTTAAAATGCGATAGAGCATGAGCATGCTAGACAGACAGGATTTTCTCTACATCTGTGGGAGTCAGCCCTGAAAGATTTGCCTGCCAGAAGTCTTGCTCTTTGCATGACATAAATGCTGTTTTTTTATGTATTTAGCAGGCTTACAGGGAAAAGGAAACAACTGATATCCTCCCCAGACTGGTTAAACAAGGGGTGATTAAAGAGAAGTAACACACAGACTCCATCACTGTTCACATTCAGGATCCTATAATTTCTTTTTCTTGTGCTAGTTATTCCCAAAGAGAACACACAAATATGCTCTTTGCATTTCAGTTTTCACATTTTTTTTCTCCATGTTTGACAGCAAGTATCAGTCTGAACTAAGGACTACACTTCAAAAAATTAACTTTTGGATCCATTTTCTTAAGCTGCCCAGATACAAGCAGCATCAAAGGCAGTAAGTCTTCCACTGCTCTTTGTTCTACATATCAGAAGATGCTTCATGAAAGTTATAATAGAGGCCAGCATGTATGTTAATGGATGAACAACTTGGATTTAGAAAGGATTTGTAAATTGGCTGTGGAAAAGGGACTTACCCGTTCTTATCTTGAATCAGCCACCAATGTTCCTCAGAGCTGTCAATCACGTAATATTCCTCATTGTATTGTAATGTCAGCTCCTGCGGGTTCTGGGCTTCATAGTCATATATGGCCATCACTAAGGCTTCCTTTGTGTCTAGCAACAATTTCTGCACAAATTAGGAAAAAGGCCCATCATACTCATATTCATAAACATCAATGGCATGCTGTCTAAAATGATATTTCCCTGGCAGCACTGTGTGTTATACCCAGTCTGCTGGATTCAAAATCCTCAAAGCTAGGGAAGTACCCAAGGTGCATGGTGGGGTACATTAGCAACATGGGAGTTTTTATAATGTGAATTTCATACAAAAATTTCACTTGCACAGAAAACAGTTATCTACTCCTTCTCTGAAGCTTAGGGCAGGATTACCTCTGTCTGATCTGTTTGTCACAGATGTTTCTTAAACTCTGATTAAAAGCCTCCAGTGACAAAATCTTCAGGACCTCCCTAGACGGACTTAGGTTGACCCTACTTCTCACTTCTTATTATGTAAGCCTATCAGATTTTGTCCAAATCCACAAGTGGGTTTGCAAAACGATTTACTCTGTTCCTCTCCACAGCAGCTTTTGCAGATATGAATACTATTCTCATATCCGCTCCCTTTCCCAGTTTCCCTTTCTATAATTTGAAAAAACAAACAAACAAAAAAACAAAAACAAAAAGCCCCAACCATTGAAGCTTCCCACACCATTGGAAATCTGTTTGTAAAACCAAGCTGTCTTTGCAGGACTGAATCTAGCTGCAGTGGGATGCTGCTGATTTGTAACTTATGGAAAGAAAATGAAAGAAAAAAATGAAAAGGCAAGAGAAAAGCCCAGGCAATATTATCACGGGTGATATTCTAGGTCACTGCACCATGATGAAAATTAATGAATGTATTTTCACCTAGTTAAGCACACAGGACACTAAGGACAGCTTATTGTGTCTCACTGCACTCACCCAGTTATCTTCAGGAGTGGGAGGAAGTGGCTTCTTTGAGGCTGAAATGAAATCAAGAAAGGTAATTTGAAACAGATCTGGACAAAACCATACAGAAATAGTGAATATCAAACCTTGGATTTTTAGAGTAAGATGTATCAGCAGCCTGCACCTACACAAGCGACTCTCAGCCGCACAGTGTGTGTTTGAAACTGATGTACAGATTACCTAAGGAATCATGCCAACATAAGGGAAAAAGTCTTGGGTAAAGAAAGGTTGACATCCCTATCTGCCAGTACCTACAGGCTTTTTTAGTAGATAAAGTAAAGATTACACTTGGTCATTGAAAATACAGAAGAAATACGATTAGGACAAAATAGGACACAGAGGGATGAATCTGTATATCTTAAAGAAGTTGTTACAGCTTATTGACAGACCACAGCTGATCAAGTTCTTAGTTTTCAATCTCATTCCTGAGCATAAAACATCCCACAGAAGAAAATGTTAATTCACAACAAAGAGTATCATACATAGTGAAAGACGAGCCAGAATAAAGAATGTCCCAGGAAGCCAGCAAGATCGCTTGCTGCAGATATAACATGGTATTCCTTGATATTCTGTACAAGGTAGATTTAATCCTTTACTTTTTCCTAGGAATAAATATTTTGAAGGTCAGGATGGTCTTAAAAAATCCCATACCATTTCTGGTGGGGTCATACTCTATACAGCCAACTGCCATCTTCTCTGTCTGAGCACAGCATCTCCACTTGCCATCTATCCAAAAATCTGGATGATACTTTGAGACTAAACTGTTGTTGATCCTGGTTTCTGGAAAATGGTAGAGGAAGAGAAAGAAGGAGTAAAAAATTGATTTATTTGTATTGACATCAGGTCTGAAAGACATATAAAACTGAATGTAAATAATCTGCACTAAAGAAGCTTCTTATTCTTTTCAAACCAATTTGTTGAATATTATCAGCCTTCTCCATTAATATTTTCCTTTCTCCTGAAAGGAGTGAATGCCACCATCACTGTGAAGGGATAGCCTTCCTACCTGTGATGCAGCTCATACCTCTGTACTGTGCAAAAGCAGAATCCTACCAACGTGACTATCTCTTTAAACTGTTAAACACCAAAACCACAGAAAGAAGGTCTCAAAAAAGAAAGAAAACCTGGTACACCATGTCATGATGATTCTCATAAAAAACTACATCTCTGCAGTATACATATACATAGGATACAGACTCTGCTGCTTTGGCTTGGTGTTCAGAAGGAGCTGTACAAGCTGGCATTTGCCAACTCCAAATATTTTTTGTGCATGTAAATGCCAGTCTTGAATCTTTGTATGAGCAATTAAAGGTCCTTCTGTTTGAAGCTCATGATCTCTATCCGCAATAATAATTTCCTAAAAAGACAAAAAAAATCTGCTGGCCTGCTTCAAGATACTATTCAAATTATTGAAGGGAGGGGGTGGTCTCAAAATGTTGAACTAGAGGAGGTGATAAATCAGAAACTTGGAGCAGGTGCTTCCCAGAAGGGGAATAACTGGTTGTAAGACCTAGTGCATGAATTCAATAATATCTCAGTCAGGCACAATGTTTTTACAATGAACAATGCAGCAGCTTGTGTTATAGAGCAGGAGAAAGGTACGAGGGAAGCCTGATGCAATTTTCATGTATCTAAACACCACCTTTCCTATGTCAAGTACTGTGCTTCATTTCTGCAAGCAGTGGTTAGGTGTTGTACCTTCACTTCAGAACCATTGTAATGAACCACAGTGCAATTCAGGAGGTGAACAGGAAATGAAAGCTACCCACAAAAATGTTTCTTAATCATGATTCTGTAATAAGGTTGTCGTATAAACATCAACTCTGTTAATCAGAGCTGAGAATTCTACCCAGAACATATTAATTTATTTTTTTAAAAGTAGCCTAATGTAATTTCTCATCTCTTCCCACACAAGAAACCTCAAATTACAGTAACATATTAATAGTTTATCCTTGAAAGAGGCAAAAAAGCATTTCATGTCCAAGTTTTCTAATGCTGCTGAAAACACACCCACAAAAATTGCAAATACATTTGATTCCATAACTGCACTCCCAATTATTGCTTTGCATGTTTAGATGCAAAACTTAACTCCTCTTGCACATTTTATTGGCATTATAGCTTTTGAGAAAACTGCTCTGGATTAAGTAACTTTATCAATTAGGTGGGTGCAGGGGTTTTGTTACCTTCCTTCAGTGTAGCGACCCATCTCTGCCGACTCTCACGATTGGGTGCAAACACGTAGAGTATGTAGTTATCATGGATGATCTGGAGAGGGGATTAAAGAAGGGAGCCAGCTGTTAGAAACAATCCCAGATACACTGGGTACAGTGGAGTCATTGAAAGAAACAGGTAGCAGACCCCATACCAACAAATTACAAAATAATGCTGTGAGCATGTGGAGTACACCGGCCCTGTTCAGATGTATCTCATAACCTCAGTGCCTTTTGCTTCTCTAAAACTGAGTAGAAAACCCGATCAAGGAAGAATTCCATATAAGTTATATTTTAGATCAATTTTATGTTGTTAAGAAATGCCAGGGAAATCAATGGAGATGTAGCAATTTTAATTTGCACAGAAGCCAGTCCATTTCTTGCTGACCGTGGTTTATTCTTCTCAAGTACCTCTGGGGAGATGCCATCTGTTTCTCAGCAGTTTCTTTCAAGGCATGTTCACTTAAAATCTAAGAGCCAAATTTAACTTTTCTTGTGTAAGTATAAAGCCCAAGCAACTCCCTGGAGATTTTTTGGATTACTATCATTCTTCAGTTTCTAATAGCTTTTATGAGGATTATAGCGGGGAAATAAGAAGCTAGAGCAAACAATGAACAGTCAAGATTGTTCTTGTTCTTAATAATGAACAAATGATGGAAGAGAAATACAGAACATTTGTGAAATTTCAAACCATGGAGTAAAATCATCACAAGAATAAAAATGACTCAGAAACTTAATTGGATGACTACATTTAAACAGAAAATGCGATATAACACATAATCTATATTTTTGTTCCAATATTTATCTCAACAATTTAAATCCAAATGGGATCTAGTCTCTTTGATTCAGAGAAACTTTGAAAAACTGACCACTGTTTTTAAACAGAGATTTCTACATGACAGCAGCTATTTTTTTTTCAAGTTTATCCGGCAGCATAAATGAGGCAACGTTGATTATTTAAAGGACAGGAAATATTTGCTATCTCTTGGCCTGATGCCCTTGCAGGCACACGCAGACAGCTGTGTGACTCAGTTGCTTTGCATGCTACAGAGAGATAAGTTATAACCTCTATTACAAAAAAACTGAAAGAGGAATAATTCCTGCTTGCTTAAAGCCACTCCTGTTGATGTTACTGATATGTCTGTTTAATGTTTTGACAACCTGAGATGGTTTTTGAAATCTGCAGTAAGCGGATCTCCAGAAGACGTAGCCACGAGCACGCACAACTGGATAAAATCACTCGTTTCAGCCACTCTGCAATGGGCTCACTTGCCAGATGAGCCACACAGAGAAAACAAAACAACCCCAAACTTGTCAGTTCCACAGAAAATTTACAGTTGGGTGCAGTTGAGATACTTATGAAGAAAATAGCCAATGTCATTTTACAAAATACCACAAAACTGACTCTGGGACAAAATTTAGACAGGCTACAAGCAGGTCTCCTGATGTCAGCTCAGCACTGTCCAGCATGTCTGGTTCACTGCTACCACATCACTACTGGCCACAACCTTCACTTGATTTCGTTCTTCCTATAAGCAGTGGAGAAACATTTTGAAAAATTCAGACCCAGAACAAGTAGATCTGAGCATTTGCTCCTTCACTCATCCATTCTCACTGAAGGAAGCCATGTTATAGTGTGGGAATGGAGTAAAGGAAGATTCTGATTAATCACTTTCTTATTCCCCAGTTCATTTCAAATCAATCTGCTTTTTCTTCATTTGTTGTTCTTCACTGCAGTGTTGGGTCCATTAAGGCTTGCATTGTGTAGGAGAATTTTACTGAAATTCAACATGAAATGATATCACTTATCTATGTAGTCAATGGACAGACTCACCTGGAAAGGGTATTTATATTGACAGGGGATGATGATGTCACTTTTGACAATTTCCACACATTTAATCCTTGAAAGTTCTACAGAACCCTTCAGAGTCCTTTTTTTCTGAAAGACAGATAAAACCACTTGGTCAAAACTAGTGATTGTGGATTAAGTGAATAATTAGATAAGACTGAGATGTCCGCAGGAGATTTCTGTGGAGCAGAAGTGAATTAATTGACAATGTACAACACCTAAAAGTACAACATTTAAAAGTATAAAGAATCATTCTCATATATGGCACCTCTATATAGATTGCACATACACATATTTATATGCACATACATTTATTTCAGATCATCGTGTCAGAGGTTGGACTCGATGATCTTGAGGTCTCTTCCAGCCTAGACAATTCTGTGATTCTGTGATTTCAAGTCAGCACATGGATTCTTAGAGAACCAGTCAAAATCTTCGGTTGAAATTCATTTTTTTCCCCAACAAAACTAGATGCCTTTTTAACAACAAAAACAAAACAAAACAAACAAAACAAAACAAAACAAAACAAACAACCTCTTTTCATTAAACTTTCAGCTTATCAACACTTGTTTTATACTGAAAAGCTATAAAACAATAAGTATTAAAAACACACACACACACAGAAAACATTTGGGTAATTTGATTTTCAAAACAAAGCATTTTATCTAAAATATAACATTTGCACTGATTCTATTTTCCAAGAAACAAATCATGTCTCTGGTTTTGGTTTGTCTGGGTTTTCAGATAAGGAACAGGATTCTGATATCCCCACTGCCCTCGAACTGAGCCATCGCCCCGTAGCTCTTGGGCAAGTGGCACTAGGCTCTTGCAGGAGAGATGGGTGGGGAAGACGCAGGCCAGAGCTAAGCTGATGCTTGCTATCTGGTGCATGCTGCTGAAGGATTTGCTACAAATGTTCGCTCTTCAGAAGCAAATTGGTTTCCTGTTTTGATTCGTTTTCAGTAGGGATGAAACGCTAATCCGCTCCCAGCCCAGTTTTGTGACAACATGATGAAAGACTGTGAGATGTATGAACCTGAAGAATGCTGCAAAATCTTCTGGTTTTGCAAACAAGGGTTACTGCCAACATGAGAGAGCCTTCAGAGACTAACTTGTACCCTTGTGGGACTGTCACGAGGAGCCATGGCAAGACTTTGGCGGCCTCCTTGCCCTGCCTCAGAGCCCCAACCCAAACCCTTGTGTCCTTCACCCTCCGGCTCCCTTCTGCCGCTTGCTCCCCATGCTGTTGTGGCCCCGCAGCTCTGCCCTGCTGAGATGCAGGGTGGTTTGCCACTGTGAGCTATCCAACTTCAAAACAGAGAGGCCTAAAGTTTTAAAACTTATATTCTTGTACGACTGGCTGGGTACTTTGTCCTTGTGCACTTGGACTTGAGGAAAGAGAGGGAAGTTATTATGGTGTGGTTGCACATAGCTCCTGCTGGACTTTGCTGGTGTATGTTTTTGTAGTTGCTGGCAGTTTAACCAGCGCCTTTGGGTTTTCTGCCAGGACTGTCTCTCGTCGGTGGCATCTGCCTACGTAGCTCCATCAGGTGGAATGGGAATTTTTTTTCAATAAACCCAAGACTGTAAGGCAGCCCTAAATGTAAATACCAATTAGCTAGCAAGAGTATTGGCAAGTCTTAGAAAGCCTCACTGAACCCTATTTTCCCCTTCTATTTTCTTTCATTCTTGTCCGTTCACTTCTTTCTTTGAGACTTGGCTTCCCCTCTCTCTTCTCCACAACCTCCTCTATCATTTTTTCTCCCCCTGGGACTTGTACCCTGCCATGAGACACAAAGCCATTTATTTCCTACAAAAACCTTCAATTTTGCTAACAGAGAACTCTCTTTTGGCTTATTACTTTGAAGTCCCAGGGCCTAACCACACGTTTCTTCTCTGAGGCATTAGGAGTCAGTGCTGTGCTGGTCACAGACTCTGCTCTTTCACTGCAGATTGTTTTTTGTTGATACATTTCCATTCTGCTCTGCAAGACAGGGTCCAGCCTTCACAAGGAGCTTTACACAGCTGTCCTGCAGCTCTCTTCACCTGCTGAACTCCTGCTAATTGGGTAATTCCCACAGCAGAAGCCCCCAGAATCTCAAGTCAAGGTGCAACGTCAGGCCGTGTCTCGCAGCCACTGCACTGCCTGGAAGACTCTCCACAAATGGGACTTTACTGAAAAAAAGCAATTACAGCCTTGGAGCAGCACAAACAGCAGGAATTATGATTCACAAACCAGGCATTACCCAGAAGTGGGCCTGGACACTAAACATACCCCTGCTTTGTGATATCTGCCTGCACTTTAATCTAACAAAAGCAACCAGGCCATTTGGAAGGGAGGGAAGAGGAAAAGCCTCTTAAAAATTGTCTCCAAAAACCTCAGAAACTTGTTCCTAAAAGGGCCAGACAAAACATGCTGACAGTCCTCTGTTGCTTTCAGTCTGCCTGGAGCATAATTAAATAGACGTTTTAGCTGGTTGGTCAGAAAAAAAAACATCAGTGGTCTTACTGTGTAATGTGTGTGGAGAGATAACGGAGGTACACTGCTGTCCCACGAGGAGAAGCACAGTGTGCTGCAGATCACCATGTCCTGTTTTATTTCTATTGAGCCATTACTTGCAAAATGGGGAGGGGAAGCTAACAGCACTGAGCGGAGCTGGGTGCATCACAAGCTCCGTGCATCACGGTCTTCATCTCCAGTATCTCACCTCCTCTTGCCACGCAGCTCCAGCAGCTCTTTCCCTGATAAAACCTGTAGTTTGTGTCTACTAAATGATTACAATGATCCATATTTGTCTTAGATACTAGAACAACTGGTATTTTTTTTTAGATCTGGTATTTTTTTTAGATGTCTTAGATACAGAACAACCGGCATTTATCACATGCTAAGCCTCTGCTACCACCAGCATTGTACTTGCCCAGCCATGGGAGCCTGGCCAGGCAACACAATTAATCACTTTGCATCAGCTTGTGGTCTGCTGATTCGAGCCACACCTGAGTCCAGCAAGCATGGGCAGAAGCGGGGACGTGGAGCTGGGTGCAGGAGGGCAACGAGCCGTCAGTGAGCACAGGGCAACGTCACGAATATGCTTCCTGACTGCGGTTCTGCACTCATAAACTTAACAAATGTCTAAGATTTTGTGAGATATGGGGCTATGCAGTCTGGGGAATTTGCTACTTTCTGGCTAACACTTCGCTGTTGCTATTTGTGGTCCCAATTCATCAAATGTACTACGAAAACCATTGGGGCTTAAGGTCCCGTGGAGCCACAAACCCTGGTGGCTGCTGAAATTTGAGCTAAACCCCACTGTATTTATCAAAGGGCCATGGCAGAAGAAGTAGTCACGGGTGCAGGAGCAGAGGGCAGAGAAGGAGGCCAAGTGCCAGGGAGGTGGGGTGGGCAGAGCTTTACCTCAAGGAGAGCAGAAGGAGAGAGCAGACAGCACCTTCCAGCAGGCAGAAAGGCAGTGCCGTGTTTCACAAAGCAGATTGCGTTCAAAAGTTGTGTAAGAACTTGTGTCTTTTGTGGTGTGAAGGAAGGGAAAAGCATGCAATTAGGATTCGCATGGCCCCAGACTCCTGATCAGCGGTCACTGCCCACGGCCCATGCTGCAGCTGGACTTTCCTCACCACACGTCTCTGGTGTTGGCTCTGCCCTCTCCTTATCGTCCTTTTCATCCCCATCCCCATCGCCTGCCCCATCCCTTCCTCCCGGCCCAGCCAGGCCCTCGCTGTGAAAAGGAGCAGGTCCCCCTGCTCGAGGTGGCATCTTTCTGCCACCCCGAGGTCTGCCTGTGACCCACCAAAGGCCCAGCTGCAGCTGGACCCTTTCCATCTGCAGGTGGGAAGGGGAAGGCAAGTTTATAGCTGCGGTGGAGAGAGCTAGGAAATTCCAGTCCCCTGTAAGCAAAACCGCAGAAACATTTCCGCCAATAAAAGCACTTAATGACCGCTCCGGCAGTGCCAGGTTTTTGTCTACAAGACTATGAGCTGAATTTCATTCCCTGCTTCACTTGTTGCATTGATTAGGAGCCATTCTTAATTAATTAATTCTTGGAGATAAAATAGATGGGGGGTCTGGCCTCAGCCCTTGGCATGACCCACTTGGGCCTTGTCACCTTCACCCTGGTCCCTCTGCTCTGTCCGGGCTCAGTGCACAGCCTGGATGGAGGCAGAGGCTGATCTGAGGGTTTCTTACACTGTGCGATTGTAGTGGTGAAATCCATAGAATCATAGAATGGTCTGAATTGAAAAAGACCAGTAAAGATCATCTAGTTTCAACCCCCCTGCTCCAGGCAGGGTTGCCAACCACTAGAGCAGGCTGCACAGAGCCCCATCCAGCCTGGCCTTGAATGCTCCTAGGGATGGGGCATCCACAGCCTCCCTGGGCAACCTGTTCCAGTGCCTTACCAACCTCTGAGTGAGAAGCTTTCTCCTAATTTCTAACCTAAATCTTTTGTCTCAGTTTAAAACCATTCCCCCTTGTCCTATTACTATCAACACATATAAACAGGCGTTTATATGTTTATAAACATATAAACCCAAATTCTACTAGTTAGAATAAGGTCTCTTATAAACACGCGTTGGCTGTAAGGTAGCAACGGAGAAGAACACAGACTATAGTAACTAGGAACCTTTAATATATTACTGCAATAAGATGGACTAATTTTAATGGTGATTCTCCTGAGAAGTATTTTCCACTGATCAAAAATATTATGCTTGAACTTGAACTTCCTTGAAAACTGTGCTAATGTAATTACTAATGTAATTACTTCCTACCCCTTATCATATTCCTTATCTATACATTGGGGCATGGGCTCTTGTTATCATTAATAGGACATAAAAACTGTTGACTGCTGGTTGATAGAGATCTTGCCTGAACCCTAACATTGTTCAGTATTTTGTGAGTTCTCACTCTTCTAAGGAACATTGGTAGTTTGAGGTTTTATGAAATTAAAATAAGTTAAACAATTTTAAAATTAATTTTGAAACCTAATATAAGCAAATTGGACTTTAAAATGAATTTGTAAGAGATTATTTTATTGCCTGTGAATAGTAAGAGGTTCAAAGGAAGAGCAAAAAGAGGTGGT